AAGCGCCTCTATAAGGCAACACCAGAATGTGCGTGCTTAATCACTACCTAAAAAACTACAAAACAACGAATTATAATTATGGGGAACAATTGTTGGTCAGTCGGGAGAAGGAGAAGAAAGGCCAAAAAAAAAAAAAAAAATTTTCTTTCCCAGGATTCGATCCCACGCCCGTTCACTCCGCGCGCAGTAACGCTGTCCATTCGGCCAGCACAGCTCCTTACTGGAATAGGTAGATTAGGCTTTATATATTTACAGCACTGTTTCAGAAGTTTCCGAACTGCTAAAACTGGAATCATAGGCCCAACACAATATTCACCACTGGCCTACCACAGCCAATCAGAGCACCACTAGCTTACCCACAGCCAATCAGCTTCTGGCTGACGGGCTGCTGCTAGCCGCATGTACGCTCAACACTCACTCTCATTCTCAATAACCTTGTTTCTGCACTGTGCGTGTTCCCGCCGGCCTAATATCCAAATCTGGACACCCTAGGTGGCCGCCGAAATCAATGGTGGGCTAGGCTAGGGTTTGCTCTGCCAAGGGCAATGGACCCTTTCAACGATGGACAAATTATTGGTCGAAACACTGATGATTGTACCTGCCCCTCATCCCATAGAGGCTTATCTCACGGCTTTGGTCATCCCTGGAGAAAATTAGTACTTGGTATCATTGGAAAAAGAGAGGACACGTTTTAATGGGATGGAGTCTAGACTTTCTTAGATCTATTAGGGAGACCTATCAATAACTGTAAGTGAGCATGTTTATGGATTATTAATCAGGTAAAATCCGTATTGCGTTTGCAGAGTCGAATCTGATCGAGCCACTTATTATATTATTGATTCCACTTTTTTTATAGCCTACTGCGAGTGACCGAAAACTATTTTTTTCTTCTAAATTTTAAGACCAGTTATGTGACACTGTGCCTGACGACCCGATATCTATAGGAAGCATAGGCCTACAATTTGCACTGGTCTCAAATATTTCATGGTAACTTCAAGAGCAAAAGTTATAAGTCATAGCTACTATAATAATATAATATTATTATGTAGATCTAGATTAACTCGAAGTGCTGACGATGTTATACACCACAGACAATAGTGTTTGTGAAAAAATTTTTCTTGGAAGTCTTCTTTGATTGTTATTATTTATTTATTATAATAATGATAATTATTATTATGATTATGATGATTATTATTATTAATACATTTCAATTTTCGTTGGCTTTCAGAGGCATTATAGGCCCAGCCATGCTCACATTACAAACACATGGCATTGCATTTTTTTTTGCTAGTCCCGAAGAAAAATCCGGAGTTTTGTAGCCGCGCTGTCGCCATCTTGAAGGAAAGAACGCGTTTACGACGATTCTGGAAGTACACTTTTGACTAAATTTGTAGCATTCAAACCATCAAGCGATGTCGTCACCCGTTCAGGCATTAACAATGTCAAATGGTACCACGTCCGAGGTGAGGTTTATAAAAATTAATGTCCTGCTGTTTTCTGATTTTGAATTTGACAGACCACCTTGGTCAGTCACAAACTCAAGTCTCAAGTCAAGACCAAAAAAGTGTCCTCAGTTCTGCTGAGTTAGGCTAGATCTAGCTCATGTTCAGCTTCCAAGTCACTCATCGAGTCACCTCAAGCTACTCCTGGCAACCAGACACACTGATTGACTTGTATTACATGTAGGCTACTGGCCCCAGATATGATCTAGATCTAGATTTAGATCTAGATTTTAGATCTACATCTAGAATTCTAGATTCTAGGCTGTTATACTGTTGTTGATGTTGTGTTGTTGTTTTCAAATCCCTTTGGCCGTGGGAGCATTTTGCTCTTGCCAGCGCAATGCCTCCCTCAAGTAACCTCATGTCCTTATCTTATCATCTGGTCAACGCCAGAGTAGAACAGGCTTTGTAAGTCTGTAGGTGTGTGTAGGAGCCTGCGTTGAAGAACTGCCAGGTTTGGGCAGTGAAGGAGATGTTCAACAGTCTCCCCTCGGCACTCCTCGAATATTGGGCGCTTTTTCGGTAGTTCCCACCCTGCAATTGTTATTCACGGGTTTTGGCCCCAAGAGTAGGGGGGTTTCAGGGGGGCTTGCCCCCCTGACCTAACAAAAATAGGAAGGGGGGTTCCTGAATTTTACCACAATTTAATGTTTTGCTGTTGTTAGGTTTGATATCTTAGCTCACCGCGAATCTAGATCTAGAAGTAGGTAAGGCTCAAATAAGGGGGGGTGGGAACTACCGAAAAAGCACCGAATATTGTGGTCCCGACTTTCGTTAACGTCGGAGAGCCGGAAATGACTCGGAAAGGTAAAAGTAAAACACCGCCCGATGTGCCAGAATGGAAAATGGACTCCAATTGGAGTCAAAGAAAAAAGGACAAAAATAAAGGAATTATATAACACACGTGCCTTAGGCAGGGGATGGGGGTACCATTGGGACAGGTGGAGAAGAATGTTGTTGAGGGCTTGCTTGGTGTCCCCATGGATCTCCCTCCGCAAAAACTTGTCCAGGTGGGAACTTAAAGTTGTCCATTGTACTCCTGCCATCTGCTTAAATCGTCTCTTGCAATTTTAGCTTTCGACTCTGTTCGTGCAAGGGCCGGTGACAGGTTCGACAAAATTCCTGTCGTGAATGACAGTCTGGTGTTGGTAAGGTGGATTTACAGGCAAATTTCTTATGTTACCATAAGCCTTCCACCCGTCAGAGTGGATGACTGTCCCAGGTGCTATACAGCGAAGGATGATGGGCAGCAGGGTTGCTGATGTGGGGTCCGGAACAAGTTCCAAGAACTCGCGTCCGGTGTTTCTATCAACACTCCCAAATACCCACCGCTCCGGCACAGCGTGTCCAACGTTGTATTTCCGCTTGGCCACAAGGCTTTCATCTATTTCTACGATGTGTCCTGGGGCCCCTATCATGTAGGGGTTGTTAACTAGCCAGTTGGCACAAATGTTCTCTACAATATTGGTACCTTTGTACCACAGTTTCTTCAGTCTCTCCAACTAACAGTTGTGTAGAGTTTACTGGAGTTTTAAAAGCCCCCCAAAAAATGAGTTGCAAAATTTTATGTAATTTTAAATGAGAGTTAAGAAAATATGTCTTTTCTCAAAGAGATTTTGATACTTTTATGGGCTGGACAGCAAAAAACTTTCTCCTCCCCCCTGCTGGATTTCACTAAGCTCATAATGCGCCCACATGTTGCTCAGTTCGTTGGGTTTACTCGCAAAATTGTGCTGTTGCAAAAAGTTTATTGCACCAGCTTCATCACATCCATGTTCGAACAATTAGTTCAAGGCCATCGAAAAATTAGCTTAAACAGAGCGAGTCACTTACCATACAATTAATTACATTTTTAATCACAACATATCCATTAGAAATACGCACTTCCAAAATCTAACAGGTGATGGAAAAAACACGCACCTCCAGAAGATTAGAGATCAACACCTGGAATAGCAAATTAGTTTCTCAAAATCTCAGAGATGATGAAAAAACACGTATTTCCAAAACGCATACCTGCTAACCCTACTGAAAAAAATCGGTATATTACTGACTTTTTGGTCAAACTACCGATCCACCGATTTTGATAGATAAGCCACCGACAGGCGCCCCACATGTCTTCTTTATTGCTGTAAAATTTCAGATCTTTGTGTGTAGTAGACCTACACTTTACGTTCCAATTAAAAATTACCCCCCATCCATTGACAAAACACTAGAGCTGGAACTAGATCACGGACCCAACACGCGAGCATGCAAGAGGCGCGTGATCGCTGGGCGGCATGTGATTGACTGCCTAAAACCAGAGAGTTTTAAAGTAATAGAATGTTAAAACTGCTACAACTAAACATGTTACCAATGACGTCATTGCGGGTTTTCCCGATACTGCTTTGCTAAGGTCAAAGATAGTACATAACAAGATGGGCCACTCAGCCAAAAAAGTGTCTGCAGGAAGTTCGCTCTTTGCTTCAGATGGCGCTGCAGTCTGTTTTGAGGCTCTTTTTCGTTTTTCCAGAAGAAGAATAGGAATAGCACCTCCTTGCGTGCGCAGATCGACTGCAGTTCATCAGCAGTTCGGGTTCGTTCAGTGCGAAGTTTTAGGTTTTAAAAAAATATTTTAATGACCTCTCGCCTTTAATTCTAAAGTAAAATTAAACGAAGAAAACAATCACCCTTTCCTCCGGAAAAGGTTTTTTGTAAGCGTAACCATTTTAAAAAAGCGTTCTTCCGAAATTTATTCAAAAACTTGCTAGTTTCACTTTGATTTTTTAAACTCAAGTAGGATAATTCGTTCGCAAAGGGTGCACATTTGTGAAGAGGGCGCCACCGAATTTTGAGGACACTTTTTTAATTGTCTCAAAGAGAGAAGTGGCCCCTCTTGTTATGTAGACTCTTTGCTAAGGTGTAGAGGGGTGATCGGCCACAGTTCAAGCAATGTAGCGCAATTCAACATATTTTCATGCAAATTTAATATTAGTCTTTTAGATCCAAAGATAGACTTAGAAAAAGTGATAGCAGCACTAGATTCTGCAATAAAAATCACTCGAAGAGGCCAAATTTCAGCAGGTATGACTGGCTGGTACCGAGAAGTGATATCGTTCGTTAGCTTGAGTAATAGGATTACTATTATTTGTAATGTCATCAGGAAGGTTTTGTAGGCCAATATTTTGATTCACAAACAGTTGTTTTAGATCAACAGCAGGTCTTGTGAACACATCTGTCCATCCATCATATAGATCTAGGTCTACCTGGCCTTGATCAGTATCCCCATGATCAGCTGGTCTTGTGCCACACCCCCCAACATACCTATCATTGTTGTCTCCACTTTCACTAGATCTAGATCTATCCTCACTCTTGGCCTGCTTCATGATCAATACTGCTTTCGCTGTGTTTCGTAATCTCTTTCTAGGTCTTCTTCATCCGATTCTGAATCTCCAGCGAAAAAAATCGTCTGTTGGGTACTAAACAACTCAGTTCTAGCCCTTTTACCTCTGGAAGTATATAATTGGGTTCCTTCACATTAGCTCACCTCATTTTTACGGTGAAGTAAATCCAATTTTTTTCACGAAAATCTTCCACAAACTACACTTGTAGAAGCACCGACGACATATTTGAATCGTCACGGAGCAAGTTTAAGATTTATAGCCATCGACTGTCTATTTTTAGTGCCTGGCGAGCCTAGAGCTGAGGCCACTTGTGGATCCCGCTTGAGGGGGAATCTGGATTTTTGACACGTTCTCGAATCCCGCTCAAGGAGTTAAGATGATACCAATAACTTATTATGCCCAAATTGTCGAGCCTGATTCCACCTCATCGACACATACATTTAGATTTTGCCTTGATTAAATTTTTAATTCATTGTTCACAATTACAACAATGGCCGTTATTCTGACAGTCTGCTTGTGGTTTCAGGGGCACAGTCCAGAAGATGGAGCTGGAGATGTTGCAGCAAAAAAGATCAAACTAGAGAATGGTAAGTTCTTAAAATGTGGATAGACGTGTGTCTCGACTTGTGTGAAGCTAAAACTGAAACGCACAGGCATCTTCCATGTGTGATGCAATGCCTTGATTGGTTTTTTGTTTTGTTTGTTTTGTTTTTGTTTTTCAGAGTCTTATGCTTTAACCCCAAACCTTATGGCCTACGTGTTGTAAGGCTCAAAGATATTTTTTGAAAAGCCAGTGATGATTTTTTTCAAATATGAGGTTCTTCTGATTGAGATGGGTTGAACTTTTTCTGTTTCGAATATTTGTGGAAAATAAAGTCTTATCAAGGTATTTAGTAATGAGATGGGGTTAGGGTACTTCCTGAAACAAGTTGAATTGAAAGTCAAATTAATATAGTAAAATCTGTCTTGAATAAGTGTCTTTTCTATCCTATTTGTAAATGACATAAAGAGAAAAAAAATCTGTGTATCGGTATCTTCGAGTCCTTTACAAGTAAAGTGAATTTAGGTCATGTTAGTACATTTTAGACATGAACATCTCCAATTTGCTGACAAACAGCTTTTAAACCTCTTATATAAGACTTCTGACATCTGATATTAATGGTATCTATAATTTTGAGAGATGTTGCATGGTTACTGACAATCATAGTCATAAACAATTTTAGATAGATAGGATTGATGGCACGTTAAATAAGTGGCTTGGTATATAAGCAGAGTGCCAAATACTGGAAATGTAATTTGTACAAACAAAACTACCTTTGAAATTAGTTTGGTCTACATTCTTCCATAGAAACATTTGACTTTGTATTTTTTATTGAGAGTGAAAGTCAGATGTACTGTTCATTCCAACGGGAACTCAATGTGTATTGTTGATATTATCCTGCTGCTCTCTCGTTTTTTTTTTCTTTCTTCCATTTCTTTGTGCTTTCAGCGGAACTTGCCGGAGGGCAAAAGCGTCAGTGCCCAGCACTATGAGGTGCAATCATTGAGTGGAATACTGGCAAGAAAAGTTCCACGTAAATAAACACAAGACAAGAGTCATTGAATCACCCCAGCAGATGTTTATTGTGCCTTTACTGACATGACTTGGAATATACAGCCATTTTATTAATATCCTTCCCCTCTTTTTTTTCTTTCCTCGAATTTTTTATGCTTTCAGCAAAACACACTGGAGGGCAAAAGCAACTATGCCAAGCACTAACGTGTGCTATCATTAAGTGGCAGTACTGACAAGAAAAGTTCTACTAAAATAAACACCAGGAAAGGATCTTTAAGTGAAACTAGACATTTTTGAAGCAAAATGTTCAGTTGTAGAATATTATTTGCTTGTGTTTCTTGTTTTCACTAGTGCCTTATTTTCTTTGTATGTGATAATAGTTGTGTTTTCTGGAAATCAGTTTCACCATAGTGCTATAAGATTATTATTCCTGACTTTTAGTTGTGGGAAAAGATATCCCTCGTAAAAGTGCATTGAGAGCAGTGTTTGGATTCACTGTAAAGCTGTTTCTTTATCTCTGTGTTTGCTATATGCCCCCTGTGAAGGGAGATCGTTTGTTCTTTCTTCTCTGTCTTTTTCAGCATATACCCATATGTGTACCTGATGATGAGACGCGCACTCTTCATAGAATTTCCGTATTGCTGTGATCGAATGAGTCCGGACAAAGCAGTAGATGAAACCGTTCATCATTGGCAAACTTTTGCTTTAAAAAAATTTGCGTCTCATTTATTTTGCTTACACAACTGCATCTACATGGAACACTTGATTTTACACCAAATTAGTGCTTATTTTCTTTTAGTGTGTAAAAGTTACTTTTTATAAAATATCAGGTCAGCTTCATTGTTTCATGATTTTCCTATTTTGAGTTTGAAAATAGTACCCATCCTAGATTGAACAAAATTATTTTTTCAAACCATGTATCTTAGGCATTAGCAATAAATGGCTCTAGGCACTGGGAAAATCAAATATAGAACTTATGAAATACTAAGCGAAATCCTGTGCTTTTGAAAGCTTGAATATATACAATCTTGTAAAGTTTTATTTTTGGTAATCTTTACCTCTGAGGCATTTCATACTGACTTCTTTTTCTGTAATGAAACAATACTGCCTTCCACACAACTTGACCTTGACCATCAATTATTTATTTATAGAGGCACCAGCCATCCACACAACTCAGGAGTATTTGACTGTTCTTCACATTAAGTACCAGTGTGTTTGTTTGTCTTCGTGACTATTTTTCAGATTTATTTTTGAAAAGGGGTACCCTTCACCTAGATTTGTCATACTTGTCTTGTGTCAGTAGGGTATGTAAACCGGTCCTCTATAGTGTTTACAATGTTAGTTCCAGCAGAATTAGTTTGATATCTTCAGAGTGGCTGAATTTTTAAACTGATTTGCAGAGGAAGTTGGGACACCATCAGTTTCATTACCTTCTTGCTCAATTTTGGTGTGATATGTTTGTGTGCATTAACATTTGAACAGTTTGACGAGGAAATGCGACAAATGCCATTCTCAAAGTTTTGCAGAAATTAGTTCCATCATATCTTGAAAGGTGAGGCCCCTTATTAAAAGAACTGCCGAGAGATGCGGTAGACCTTTTTTTGACAAACTACGACATATCTTCTGCGCGCCAATTACGTTCTTTCCTCAAGTCATGCAACTTTGATTGTGATGAATGGAAGTCGGTCAGCAGTTCTTTCCCTCACTTATAGTTTTAATGGGGATATGTTGCATTTTTGTCAAAAATGTATGGAGATCTCGTCAAGTTAAAGAATCCAGTTCAGATTTCATCTTACATCAAATATCAACTTAGCCTTTCATCATGTTTACTCTAAAAAACAAAGTTGCTGAGGATTATTCAGTAAGCGATTGAAGAACAGAGATCTTAATTTTTCTCAAAACTGGAAAAATGGATATGTAGCGTTTTGTCGTGAAACTGTTCATTTGTCCTTAACAAATCCGGACATTGGGCTTATTTCCCATCAGGTTTTAAAAGCTGCAAGTGCTGATGTCTGGGGCCCTGGCGACCAACCACTCTGAATATATTTGAGCAGGTCTATTCGAAACTTGATATATTATTTTTGTTGATCTACAAAGTTCCACCCTCAGCCATGATGAAGATGTGGATTGCACATAATGTTTGCTGTTGGTGTTTTTGTAGTTCAGTGGGGTTTTTTCAGTGTTGTTTTCTCTCCATACTTGCATTTCTCTTTCAGTCATTGAGTTGTTGCAATTACCAACCCTGGGAACAACATTTTAATTTTTTGTCTGCCTCTTACTTCGTCTTTACATAAATTGTGCAATTGCAGTGTCTTTTGAAGTCCAAATGTTTAGTCTTAAACTGGAAACACACTAACATTTGATGGATCCTCTTTAGTGAGGGATGTAAGAAGCAATATATTGAGATGACTTTCTCACGAGCAATTCTAGTTTGCTTTAATGCATGTATTTTAATTGAGGGATGCATTTCTTTCGGTGTAAACTTGGGCTGTTTCTTCAGTAGACTCCCTTTGTAATCTTTTGGCTGAAATGCTGTAAAGCAATTGCAGCACAACCCCTCCGACTACCTTATGGATACCATCCTCAGAACTACAATCATGCACCTGTAATGTGCCCACTGTTGCCTTTTTAACTTTCTAATTTGTATCAAATGATGATATCAGGTTTGTATGTTGATCCCAAGAACTTCGTGCATATCGAGCTATGGTTTGGTCTGCGTATTCGTTTGATCTTTTCAAAAATCGACAGGAATGAGTAATGTTGTGTTTTTCTCTTCTTTTTTCTGTGTGTTTCTCATGCAGTCTTAAGAGAAGGGGTTTATGCTTTCTACCAAACCAAACTACCAGCTTTTTGTCTGGAAGGACATGCAACGTCAGCTCCGCCATAACATGCTTTGAATGTCGGGCGGATAATCAACATCGGACGTGGTAAAGATTGCAATTTGATGTCAAATAGATATTGGCTCTACTGAGCAATGTTCACTGCTAACTTTCAAATAGATTTGAGATGATTCTTTGACAAAATTTCTTGTTCTCAGGAAAGGTGTTTGGAATTCAGTCAGAATACCCTATTAACTGCAAACTTTTTGAAATTTAGCAGTGCCAGTGTTTAGGTTCTGTCCCGTGAAAAGTCCAATAAAACTGCTAGACATGGGTTATTCATTTTTTATAACACTATTCTAAGTAATCGTATACGCAGAAGTTGCATGAATTAGTATATCTGTATGGAGCATGCATCGTATATTGTGACCATGTCCGCCTTGGTACCTTGATTCAGACGGTAAGTTAAATATATGGCTGTTGGATGTCTTGTTCTGAATGTTTGTTCTTGGGCTGCTCCTTATAGATGAATATTTGGTTCTCTTGTAGGCTCTGGAGACTCGAATGAGCCATACTTCCCTCAGTCCGAGCAGTCTGGACCCCTGTTGGAGGGTCCAGGTGCCAAACGAGATGTGAAGCCTTTCACCCCACCAAAACTGACAGTGGCACAGATGGAGGACATCCAGAGATGTAAGAAGTATGCTATGGAGCAGAGCATCAAAAGTGTCTTGGTCAGACAAACTATTGCACACCAGCAGCAGGTGAGGGTCAATTGTGAATCACACAGAGCTTTTATTTTCTTACTCTGATTTTGGTGGAAAGACAAGCATACCTTTTTTTTTCTCCTCTCATGTTTTCTAAACTTAAGAAACTTCTGTGTTGGTGAAATGATTAATGAGGTTGTTTGGTGCATAAGTGCTACTTAATTGGGGAAAATGAAATGTGCTTAAGGTTTTTTTCTACAAAACGCACTAGTTTTCTCTGGCTTCTCAATTCCAACTCGTTATGTTGTCCCTGCTTTTAAATTTATTTTTTTCTTTCTCTAATCTTTTTATTCGCCTTTTTATGTCACTCTCTTCCTCCCAGCCTCCAGTATGATCTCTTCATCTTCATACTTTTCAGTGTCGCTATTGTCCTTATATTGTTGTCATGAATAATACTGTGGTTATTGATCTGCATCCCCACAATTTCAAATTCAGTGCAATGCTATAACTTGCTTTGTAGCATGCTATGCTCTTAGATAATGTCTCTAATTTAGAGTCTAGTATTTACAACTTGCTAATTTTGTTGTAGTTGTTTAATTCTGATATCATCTCTATGTAAAAAAAACCTCTTCAGTTTAGAGCTGTGAATAAAGTGAGAGGTAAAGTGTTAATGACAAATCGGTCAGTGTTATAATTCTTGTTCCCGTCTGTGTCATAAGATTTGATTGAAATAGAAGCTAGATAACATTTGTAATTAACCGTAATAGCCTGTAAGGCTAGTTTCATTTGTGTTCTTGAAAGCACAGAATATGGATGTGCAATTTTTTGTGGTTTGTTTTGCTAAATTTTTCTTTTCTTTTTTTTTTTCTTAGCAAATGCAGAACTTCCAGAACACAGTCCAGAGACAGCAAGCCCTTGCCCTTATGTGCAGGTGAGTACAGGGAACCAAACTAAATGCTTCTGTAGAGATTGGGCAAAATGTAGAGGGTGTCAAAAAAAAAAAAAAAGAGGACACACTTAAAGGGCAATAAGTCTGTCATTGGCGCACTAATTTTAACAAAACTTCCGACAAATAAATTTCAACCAGGGGGACATCAAGTTTGTAAATGTGAAGAAAATCCATCAACGCCTTCGTGAAATATCGAGTTAAAAAAATTTCAACCAATTTTTGGATAAAACCCAAAATTTCGCATCTTAGAAAATGTTCAGCTACAGGGGCTTGATTGGCCTGTTCTGGTTTCTGGACAAGGACGTTTAACCACGTCCAATGCTTCCAATCTTCCGTATTTTTATGGAAATTCGTACTTTCTGACAGTTCCATACCTGCTCCTCAATCGTTATCAACTCCACTGTAAAAAGTGCAAAAGAATCAGGCTACCGAAATACCATGGCAAAAGATCTGTACTCGCCTTAAGTGTCGTCTTGTAGAAGTTACGGATATTTTCTGTAATTCTCTGGGAAATAAGTTGATGTTATAGAAACCTGCCAGATTGCGCATTTCCTGCAATCGGCCATTATCCCGCTATGTGTTTGTTGTGAGTTGGTCGGCAATACATTTTTAACCTGCGAATTGATCAAAACCAGGTTAGCCATGTCAGCAAACCTTTTGTGTCAATTTTCTACTTTCTTTCATTCACTCATTCTTTCTGTCTTTTGAAAATGTGTGCTTTGATCAAGTAAATTGACTTGTGATTTTAGACAGAAAATCAGTCAGAAACTTTTTTGGAAATTTGTATAGATCTCTGTCAGTGGTACAACGACAAATTAATTGAAATATAATATTAATGTGACTGAGAAATGGCAATGCTTTTGAACGTTGCCATCAATATAGGTGGAGAAATCAAACAAGGAAAAAATTGTGAAATAATAGGTTTTATGGGTTGTTTGCAATCTCTTCAAACAGGCTCCCAAATGCTACTTTCAACAATCTAAAAGCACAAAATTTCAATATCTTTAGGGCTTAGCCCCCAGACTCCCAGCAGAATTTTCCCCACTTTTCAGCTTCAGCTGTCGGAAGCACTGCACAAGTCAAATCAGATGGATATCTTACCATGCTGAGAAAGTTTGGGAGGAGAAGGTGTTATACTGTAGATGCCTGGTTCCAGTGGGATGGGGCTACACCCCATAGTGGGTTTTTGTGGGGAAACGCTTTGTATGACGAACGCTTACAAATGAATGGTCACCGTGTTCCTCCCAAACCGAAGTCTACGGTAACAAACCACAAACAATCGAACGGTTGAAACTAAACGATGAACAGGATGTCCCAAAAAATCGACCCAAAAACACGCCATAGGATTATTCAAAATTTCTAGTGGCGTATTGGAGCTTGTAGAGAGTGAAGTGGTCAATCCCTGGAGATTAAAATAGCCATAACCTCCCTGGATTTATTTGGCACTATAATTTTTTGCATTGCATATATACTTTTTCTTCAATGCACAGATAGTGAGTTTTTAAAATAGATCAGCATGGTTGATTTTTAAGGAGTTGCAAAGTTTTGAGTTTCACCCAGTTTTGGTGGAAATTTTAAAATACTTGATTTCTTTCAGACATGATGGTTGATTTGTTTCATTTTGACTAATGTAGTAAACCCCTGGTTGAATTTTATTTCTTCGAAGTTTCATTGAAATTGGTCTAAAGATGACCAAGTTATTGCCCGTTAAATGAGTCTTTTTTTTTTAGACGCACCAGTATTATGGGTATATTCAACCAAAGCAGCTCTATTTTTCCTTTCCTTGGGTAATTTATAGTTGTTTTTTTTTTCTTCCGAAAATGTTGTTTTATTTAGGGAGGTTTCATATATTTTATAAAGTAAAGGGATTTTTTTGAGTGGAAAATTTGTCTCAAATATGAAAAGGCAGCCCTCTAATTATGTCAACGTTTGGTTCAGTAAAGGCAATTTTTTTTGCAGGAAGGTTATCCTTGATTTGAATTTAGTCTGTGATTGCTTATAATGCAAAATTATGGCAACACATTTTTTGCTTGTCAAGTGTTTCTGAATGACAGGCTAGAGCAGAAAGCATCTGTTATTATTTTGTTTGACTTTGTTGTATGTTTTTCATTTTCAGAATCTATGTGGGCAGTATCAACTTTGAGATAAAAGAAGACACCATCAAGCAAGCCTTTATTCCGTTTGGACCCATAAAATCAGTGAACTTGTCCTGGGATCCTATAACAAACAAACATAAAGGCTTTGCTTTTATTGAGTATGAAGTTCCAGAGGCTGCCCAGCTGGCATTGGAACAAATGAATGGAGTCATGATTGGAGGAAGAAACATAAAAGTAAGTAATAAAACTAATGGCATAATTTTTTCTTTTGATTATTAAAGATCTGGATAGTTAGGAATAGATGTTCAGTAGGGATACTTTACATACATGGCTGTGCTAATTATAGAACACAGAATGACCCCTTTCCTGACAAGCAGCCACTTGATGTTTTTGAAGGCACCCTTTATATTTGTTTTTATTAGAGTTGAGTTTTGGGGGGGGTGTTGGTTCATAGCTCTGTTTTTGCCCCTTCAAAGTGGCTGATAAAGATTGTGTTCTTGCCAAATACTCTTTTGATACAGAAAAATGATAGGACAAAGTGTTAACATGTTCATATTCATTTCTCTTGTTTACTTTGCATACTAAGCGCTTAAATTTCACATAAACTTTCAAAACCATGAGCCTTGTTTTATTTAATGTCATGACAAATGAGGTTTGTGTGTGTGTAATAGCAGTGAAGTTTTTTAAAACAAATGTTTTTCCTATGTACTCTATTTGTGCCCAGGTTGGTCGGCCCAGCAACATGCCACAAGCTCAACCAATCATTGAGCAACTGGGTCAGGAAGCCAAGAACTTCAATAGGATCTACATCACTTCGATTCATGCCGATCTCACAGAGAATGACATCAAAAGGTAATGATTCTTACCTCTTACCTCAGTCACAGATTGACATTTAGTGCTCATATTCCAAGAGTATCATAGCAAGGAGATGTAGGGTTTTGGAGATATGGGTCTATTGGTTTGGCAACCACTGTATTTCTTGTTTGTAACGGTGATGACAAAAACAGATAAGTAGCAAGGCAATTTATGAACTTTAAATTCCATTTGTTTAGTAAACAAAGACTTTGTACACTATGAACTCCATTCATAATGGTAATATAAATTACAAGCTTTGTAACAATGACGCAGTGCTCAGAACATGTCATCATTGTTATGTACAAGAAAGGACACACATTGGACATTATCATTGACAACACATCACAATAGTGAAAGGCTATACAAATGCAGTTATCAAAGCCTCAGTAGCAGAAAAACACATGTGTAAAACAATTTTTAAACTAATATGAGGCAAAAACACAAAATCAGTGGAGCTGACTTGTACATAACAGTGATGACAAACATGACTTGTACGTAACAATGATGACTCAATGTACAGGAAAAGACGAAGTCATGCCTCCAGAGAGAAATGCGCACTCTAAGAATAAAAAAAAAACCCAGGAGAGGTTTCTTTTGCTTTGAAACAGATATCAGGTCATATCAAAGACAGTGGACGATCACAATTATGTTGCTAATTATGACAAACAGTACTCGTACATAACAGTGATGACAAAACATACTAGGAAAAAGTAAAATCATGCCTACAAAAAACAAATTTGCACTATGAGATACACAGATCAATAAAGGCATATTTTGCTTCTAAATGAATCTTGCTTGTATGAAATATATGTTGAAAACTTAGTGATATTAGCAATGATGACAAATATTACTTGTACATAACAATGATGACACAATGTATTGGGAAAAAGGCATATCAGTGACATCTATTGATGTAGATGGTGAACTTGTATTAGTACGTCAGTGCTGAATTACTTTCAAAGACAGCGTTTGCAGATCTAGGTAATTTCTGCCTTGTACTCCCTTTATCATCAAAGTTACTTGACGAACTATCATCATCATCATCTGCTATATAATGTGATAGTACCTGTAGTGGTTTCTCAAATACAAGATGTTTGGCAAAACAAAAACCGCTCTAGTATGCTCTTGGATCGCATTTGTCAAACAATTAATTTTCCAACACTGATGAGCTCTCCTTCAAATGACGGGCAAAGGGAATAAGTTTAGTTTAACATTTTCTGGTAGATGAATCCAGAGGTCACAACATAGTTGAGCATTTGCCAAATGGTGGGATACCTGGGTGTGACAAATGAGGTCCAAATTCAACTTTATGTAATAATTCTTTAATCACCCATATTATATAGCCTAATGATTGCTCTTTCAGGCTCAGTAACTGCCAAAGCTATATATGCAATGGTTTTGGTGTAATTCTGACTTGAATGACGGAAATAGCAAAAAGTTCGTTCATAACAATGATGACACAAATTTATGAATACTCAAAGTTCCTTTCTTCAGCTAGGCTGAGGTTATATTTTGAGACATAGCAAATAACTTCCAAAAATACATAGAATTGACAGTTTATAAAAATCTTTATTAATTTTTGATAAAATTACTTTTTTATGTCATAATAGTTATGAACGAACAATAAGTGACCAAAATACTATCAATTATGTCAAGTTTCAATGGCTAGAATTGTCTAAAATAACACTCTGGTTTAATTATAGTCAAGTGATAAATGAGAGACCATTTAACAGATATTTTTAAACGCAAACTGGTCATAGGGCATGTTATGCATAAATTTAAAGTTCGTTCATAACCATTATGACACACTGTTTCGTTCATAACTATTATGACAAATTTTACTTTGGGCCCCTAAAATTTACTTATATTGTTCTGTCTTTCACTTTCACATAAAATGGTTTTCATTTATGAGACTTTCCTTAAAATATGATAGATTCCTCTATGTAGGGAGAATTCAAAGTTTATTCACTGAAAAACCCTTAGAATACCTTTAAAATGGTTTGTTCATAACAATTATGACAAACTTCAATTTTGACCTAAAAATGTATACATTTTGATCTGTCATTCATTTTTTAAAACTTTTATTAAATGAAACTCTCCTCATAATATGTATCTCTGTACATGTTTTTAAAGTTTATTAACACTGAAAAGCCCTCAAAATATATAAAATGGACTATAAATAGTTCGTTCATAACCATTACTACAAAAGTATAATACTAATTAAAATCCACACCCATACACTTATGATAAAAATCAAAATATCAAAATGTATGCAAGGTCTATTCTGTCCTTTAGTTGAGTTAAAATTAAAAATACATCCCAAAACAACTGTAAATTACATGGAATAAGGTTTCGTTCAAAACCGTTATGACACACTGTTTCGTTCATAACTATTATGACAAATTTTACTTTGGGCCCAAAAAATTAACTTATTGTTCTATCATTCACATAAAATTGTTTTAATTTATGAGACTCTCCTCAAAATAAGGTTATATGTAGGAAGAATTCAAAGTTTAATCACTGAAAAAGCCTTAGAATACCTTTAATGGTTCGTTTATAACTATTATGACAAACTTCAGTTTTGACCTAAAAATTAATATTTTGAACTTTCATTTACTAAAAAAAATATATTAAATGAAAGTTTCCTCATAATATGTATCTGTGCACATGTTTTTAATGTTTATCAACTCTGGAAAGCCCTCAGAGTACAATATGTAGTTCGTTCATAACCATTACTACAAAAGAAAAATACTGATTAAAATACATATCCATACACTTATGATAAAAATCAAAATATCAGAAAGTAAGCAAGGTCTAATACATCCTCAAGTTGGGTTAAAATTAAAAATACATCCCAAAACAACTGTAAATTACATGGAATAAGGTTTCGTTCATAACCATTATGACACACTGTCATGTTCATAACATGATGACAATCCATTATGACAAGCATATTTTTGCCTCTTCTTCGCTTCTCTTTTGAGTCATCAGCACGATACTCTTCCATGTTCATTCCACCATGTAAAGGGATGTTGTGAAACAGTGGGAAGTCCCTCACATGATATTTTGCAGAAATATCATAAAGTGTTTGTTCATAACATCATTATGACAAACCTGGATTTTATCTCAATCAAAGTCATATTTAAGCAAAACCATGAGACGGAGCGGAAAATTACCCTTCTGATGGATCAATGTCAAACCAATGTTTAATACCGGTCATTCCTCGGGATGATATGTGTAACGATTTGGGTTTTCTAGACCTTGGAAAATCTGATGATGTAATTATGACACGAGTTATGAACAAACTTATAAATTTTACTCAGCAATAACATCATTAATATTAAAAAATAAAACCCTTCTAATGGACACGCGCTGTTATGATGGTGTATACTAATTATTTTCAATGTTTGAATGCACTACTGTTTGATAGTTTAAGATTAACAATATTCTGTATTTAACATACAATTACGTGTGCACTCAGGGTGAGTAAAAAATGCCCTATTTTTAGTATTATTATCTTTCTATGAAGAGATATAAGATGCACACATCAATCTACTTGCTCATGCAGCTTGACCAACTTATTTCCCTGCCATATGCATAAAGTTTTCAGAAGAAAACATATTTTTCCATGAGTAGTGGTTGATTTAAAAAGTCCTCATGCAAACACCCCCACCTTTTGACAAAAGCTCAGTTCTATCTTTTCAGTACTACAATCAGGACAACTGTTCAATTACAAAGTATCAATGAAACTTGCTCTCAACACGAGGATATGATTGGAAATACATTGAAAGGTCAACCTTGTAGTAATGGCTTCATTTGTGGCTTTTGATATATTATTGATGGTATTGATTGTTCTGAAATAACATTTTTTTTTTTTACAGCGTGTTTGAAGCATTTGGCAAGATCAAGACTTGTGAATTGGTTCAGGATCCAGCTAAAGTTGGAAAACACAAGTAAGGTTACATTTTGAATTTTTTCTGTGGTTTGATGATTTATCAGATTTTAAGAATATTTTGTGTATCACACTGAGAATGGCACCATTAAAAAAAATAGGTGATTTTAATCGGAGTTCTCATCCCTTTTCATCTTCGTGTGTCTCTTTGGAACAGTATCTCACAGTAGGCTCATGAACCCTCCCCTAATATGGTCTGCTTCTGTTAGTTCTTTTGTCTGATCTGTTAAGTCAGTCATTTTGCTGTTGTTGTGCAGACTTTGTAAGCTCTCAATTTTATTGTCATATTGTTGGGTTGTACATTCTGATGCCTTCTCAGCATTGAAATAGTTTTTGAGAATGTTGGTCTGCTCTTCAGATACATTTGCAAGGTCCACTCTGGTGTGGTTTGCTTCTTTTTTCCCTGTTGTCCTAATCTTTCTGTTTCTTTTCTTTGTGTGTTGCCTTCTAGTAACACCTCTGATCTTTGGCTCTTATATGACTCTATGTCATATTTGTATTGCCAGTGTGGTAAATCTCTTACTGAAACTAAAAACCTAAAAACGGGAACATTTTCTTAAAAGTGCAAGTAATGAATGATTAGGAATGAGAATCTCCATTTTCTGCAACAATAATTAGTCTTTCATCAGGAGAACATCAGCTGAGGTAAATTTTACATTGACATTTTTTGTTGATTTTGCACAAGTTAATAAAACAAGTTGAGCTGTGTTGAGTTCAGTTACAAATATTTTTTTCATTGCACTGATTTGTACTTTTTGCCTTCCAGGGGTTTTGGTTTCATTGAGTACGATACAGCTCAAGCTTCGTCTGATGCAGTCACATCCATGAATCTGTTTGATCTTGGTGGACAGTATCTACGTGTTGGAAGGGTAAGTTAAAACATTTTTTAGTCCACATGCTGTCAGTCAGATCGAGCGTCTTTGTCATTCTGCTTTCACATACATTGGCACGTCCTTGAAAATGGAAACAGTTGGTCTTTTAAATTTGATAACCATTTTCAGTCACTCACAAAAATATTGTCAATCGGAATATGTTTTTTTCTTTCTAGGAAAACGCGTTAATGTTCATTGTGTTTTTAATGTGTACTAATGGTATGTTTTTGTGGATGTTAAAATATGTTGGCTTGAAAAGCTCATCATGTTGTGCAGGTTTTACATATGAATCTAGGGTAACGAAATTGATTTCAGTAAAGCTAATTTAAGCACTTGATATGTTAAAGAAAAAAAGTGGTGACTCTTTTTGTACTTGCGTGTGAAATGAAAATACTGGGGCTGATGGATTGAAGAAAAAGATAATTGTTGTCTATGTTTATTCTTTTTTTTTTTTAAGGCATAGTAAATTTTTCTTGGTGGAGGGATGTCTAATGGGATAGTCCGATTTGTGGGTGGTTGGCGGGTGCTCTGGTGTGGTTTGCTCCTACTTTCCTTTAAAAAATCTATCGTCGAAATCTCCCCTCCTTTTTTATGTTTGTTACTCTCTTGTAACACCTCTAATCTTCTGGCGTTCACATGACCTTGTGCAGTTGCGAGCGCCATAAAACTTCTACTAAAAAAACAAAACATAGTCTGATTTACGTTTTTAAAAACTTTTCAGGCTATCACACCGCCTGATGCAGGAATCACCCCCTCCATCCCTCCAACTGCCATGCCAACAGCATCTGCTGTCGCGGCAGCAGCAATTACAGCCAAATTGACAGCCCTAGAAGCTGCACAAGTCCCACTTGTGAGTATTTGTATCAACAGGGTTTTTTTTTAATGGTTGCCGTAGTGTTTTACTGGTGGGTGTTTTATTCAATCGTTTCCTGTCGTTTGAAAAACTTAGCTCTGAGAGTACAGGTTGTGACAGCATACACTCCCTTTTACTGTTGATCACAATCATTAGTTACATGTATAGGCTTTGTAGAATATAAGGTACAAAGCTTGGAAAGGTTGGCAATACAGAATTTTATTTTTGTTGCCATTTTCTTTCATACTCAAGGGAGTGAGCACTGATGAGTAAAACTATTCATCTGAAAGTGAAAATTACAACTAGAAATATTATATGGTTTAAATTGTGTTGATAAACTCAAGGTAAATTAGCAAATATCTACATTTTCACATCCAACCACAACAATCCAAATAGAGCTTTTTGTACCAAAATGAAAAACATAAGCTCTTAGTGTGTTAGAAATTTAGGTGCATGTATTTTCTCGGTTTTGTTTGTTTTTTATGTTTCTTAATTTTGTTTTAATAAAGTTGATAGCAATTTTAAATGGTTGTTTTGGGCACTAATAATTTCAGTTTTTTATTTGTAGGACTGCTGCGTGTCTTTCCCCCTTTTTAATATTATTTTTTCTTTCTTGCTCAGGCACCACCTGGCTTGGCTCTGCCCACTCTGGGCGGTGCTGGTACTGTGATAAAGACACCCTCAGTAATCAGCTCCAGCATTACAGCCCCTCCCATGGCTCCTGCCCACCCGTCAATGCCCAAGCCACCCACGGCCCCGCCTGTGCCGCTCATGTCCTTGCAGACAGCACCTGTCCTCCCAATCCTCCCAGCTGCGAATCCGCCTGCCATTGGTCTCACGTCTTTGCCACCGTCGATGACACTAGGACAGTCTAGTCCAGGTAATATGGTGGTCCTTTCATCTCAGAGTTCTTTTAAAGATATATTTACAACTACCAAGGGATCTTTTACATGTGAAACTTTTATAGGGAACTTCGGAAATTTTTCATCTTTACGTAAAGTTTGTTGGTGGATTTAACTCTCCAAGAGTCAGGGGGTGTCATGGAACATTATGCCTGTTAAGCTATTCCAGCATTCTGTTATTTTGTTTTGAAATATATTTTAGATACAGTATAATCTGCTTATTTCGACATGCTTTGGGAAGTGGATTTGATGTCGATGTATAAATTTTAAGCTGGCTGCTACCCTTGATTCTTGAAACTAACAGAGGAGGGTGTGTGTGTGTGTGTTGGAGGTACGGTACCAAAGACCGAGCAACGCGATGTGCACACTACACACCAGCGCAAACTTTGTTGTAGCATTCTTGTAAGGCCTGTTTACGGCTGCTTGCTGGGGAGAATGAAAAGGCGAGGCAGTGACTCGCTGACCGTGGCACTTGCCAGCGACAGACTGAACTGAGTGAAAATGGGATGGGGAAGGGGAGTGAGCTATCGGGAGTGGGGGTAGGGAGGTAATGCCCAGCGCGCGAGACGCTCACGTCTGTGAGGCACTACTGTGTTGGAGACTACACTGTAGGCCCTACATGATGTACTAAAGCATGGTGTGTCGATATTAGGCTACTTTGCGGGTATGCGGACTTAATGAAGAACAAATGCGTTGACAGTTAGTTTGGCTTTCCCTCGCATTTATGTTGTGGGCTTTATCAGGTACTCAGGAAGCATGTCGATAAAGCAGAATGGAACGGGAAAAAAGTGTATATAAGAAATTGTTTAACTCACTTGCGACTGGGCCCTTTCACCAGCCACAAGCGTTGAAGACTGGCGTTTTGGGGGGTATTTCAATAAATCACCACAACTCTCAGAATTACCGTATTGTAATCATTTTTTGACACAGTAAAGTAACATTCAAGCTTAATCTAATACAAAAAACTAAAGTTGTCTAAGTCTAATACTTTAATTTGTATGATTTTTTAAAAATTGGCATGAATTTGAATTTCGAAAAATTTCCAGAGACGTGACAAGTAGAATGAAATTCACTGCAACAACAAAAATAAAAGTTCAAAGTGTTCTGGTTTTATTTGTATACATGTGCAAGTGTTTGGTGAAAATATAAAAGCTGGTCTGTGCATTGATTCAGACCCATACACTGAATTACATGAGACAGATGTACGGCACGACGTTGTGATTTCGTTGCGCGAAAACCAACACCGGTACTAGTGCTAGATCTAGCCCTAGAACTACGACTCGGGCCGTGTTCGGGTACATATCCAGGATCCTAACTATTAGACACATCATATTCTGAGACACTAGAACTAGTAAAACGTACAGAAGTATAGAAAACGGCGAAATTATGTGATTCTTGTTCATGCGACTTCTTCGACCGTTACTACGACGCGACTGTCGGATTACTATGAGCTGTATAGAAAAAAACAAAGCGCGAGTTCCGGTCTGTTCAACCACAGTTGGGGTCACTGTCCTTCACCTTCAATAACTTAAAAACTACCGGCCCCAGAGATACGAAACGAAATCTAAGTAGCCCAGGCTTGGCCAAACAAGGGTACGAGGCGGGTCTCGCGATCCGTGCGTGATTTGTAGACCGAAAAAAAAATTCCAAAGTTGGTCACGCAGGGCTTGTGAGACCCGACGCGAGCGTCATGGCGGGGGTCACGCAACTGTTGTGTGACCCGTCTGAAGTGAGTTAATGAAGCCATTGAAGGAAAAATTTCGTAATTGGAAAATATGTCGATGTCAAAATGTCGATAAATCGGACGTCGATATAACTGGATTATATTGTATTAATATATCTTACGTTATTTGTTTTTCCTTCATTACAGCATTGGCTGCTGCAATGGTAAATGCCATGGCTTTGAAGAAGGAGCCATCAGCAAGTCAGTTATCCTCTCTACCTGGATTGACTGTCGCCTCACTGGGCCAGACACCAGTTAGTGCTGCCGGTGCTGTAGAGGAAGAAACTGAGGAAAACAAGGGCAACCAGGAGGAGCTTCCACAGACTCTGGAACAACAAGAGAGCATGAAGATCAGTGGCAGCAATGCCAGACATATGGTCATGCAGAAGTTGATGCGGAAGTCTGAGGTAAAGATGAATGCTTCACTTTTATGTCTTGTAGTTTCTTGTAACTATGAAATTGGTGTGTAAGTCAGAGCTACTCAGAATGACAGTGATCATAATGTAAAAAAAGGAAATGTTAGGTCACTTAATATAGAAGGTGATCTCTGCCTTTTTGTTAACACATTACACCCTAACTTGCCCGTGAATTTCCTTATGCGCTGCACGCTAACTCGCCCCGAACCGCCCGCGCCGGCCAAACAAAATCTCGAGATTTTGGTTTTCATAGTTATTGCAAAATGTTTGTTTCCGTTTGATACCGAAACATTTTTTTGCGGGCCAGTAGTTTTAATATTAGAGTCGATTGAAATGCGATCACGTTTCCGACACTTCGAAGGTGTCTCGACTTGTTAAAAAGCAACACAACTGAGTTTGAAAAAGGAAATAATGATGGATTTGAGTTAAAACAAGCATGTGACAAATCAGATATAGATGAAAATGTTGTAGCCAGAGTTAGGGCGATTGAGATTTATCAGATGTAGAATTTAGATCTAGGGCCCGACCGTGAGGCTGAGAGGGACATGTAGGGCACCCCGATTGAACTAAAGTTAAAACATTTCCAACAGTTTGCGCATACATAAAGTTATATTTATCTGAAACTACATTTATTTTTCTTTCAAACTTTTTTTTTTCTCAGGATTTTTGGAATTTATTTAGTATTTTTAAAATGTGTTTTTTTAAACGCTTGTATTTACGGGAGGTGGGTTCCTTCCCCTTGCTTAGGATCAAGGAAGGGACTTCCCATCCAGACCTTTAGGGTGTAATGTGTTAAGTTTCAAATAGAAGTTGTCTCGAGCGAGGCCTACTTTTTGACCCCTGAGGGTTCCTGCAGTTTTGTCGACCACAAAAAAAACCTGGAAGCTATCATATTAAAAAATTGCAACTAAAGAGAGGAGTGCTCTCTCCGAAACTGGAAACTGCCTCTAATTTTACTGTTTTATCAGAACAGTCAGGCACAGATAACATGAACACGGAAAACGAAATCAAGAGGTAGCTCAAATAATTTGCCATTCCGCAAGTGATATATTTCATTTTTTCGTTATTGCTTGACTCAAATTATGGACCTGTCAAAATACATTTGTCAATCCTCGGAATTATCCGTGCCCATCTGTATTTTGAAATAGAAAAAATCAGATTTATGGTGCAGAAAATTACTATCCCGGCCTGAAATAAACAGCACCAAGAGTTCATTTTACTTTAGTGTGTTGGACGTTTTTTTTAGTTACACAGAAATAACTTATAAGCAATTTATTATCTTTGATGTATCTCAGCTTGCTGTGGAAAAATGAAACAGGATCCCAGCCAGTAGAAGTATTTTGTGGATGATGGGATAATATTGTTTCCTAAGCTCTGTCTGAAATACAACTCTTGTCTTTACTCGTGTCTGTTCCAGTTTACAGACCTCTACTGCAAGTTTGGGGGGGGGGGGGGGGGTTCCCTTAGCCCGAGATAGCCAAAAAAGTATCACATAAAACTTGACCAAACCTTTAGCGGACAAAACGAGTCAACTGCTGGCTCGCCGCTGGATGGATAATGCCCAATAATATACATGTACACAGGATCCGTCCACCAGTTGTGAAGCATGTTCGGAAAAAATGTATACACAGGAACTGTTGCAAGTGAAATAACAGCCCTTGGACCCAGTGCCATATGTATTTTAAACATTTGTCCTTCTCTGTTGCAGTGTCGAGTGATGGTGTTACGGAACATGGTGGGACCAGAGGACCTTGATGATGACCTTGAAAGTGAAGTGACAGATGAATGTGGCAAATTTGGAACTGTGAACAGAGTGATCATCTACCAGGAGAGACAAAGTGAAGAAGATGATGCAGAAATCATTGTGAAGATTTTTGTTGAATTTTCCACCCAAGAAGGTGAGTTGTTGAGATTTTATTGCTCCTGAGCAGTAGATTGTTTGGAGATTTAACCAAGTTAGAAAATTGATGAAAATGTTCTTTACTTGACATGTAAAGTGTTGGGACATTTTCACATTTATGGGAGATTTCTAAGCTGAATGAGGAACAGGTGCTTACACTGTAACGACACATAATTCACAAGTAACACTGTCATGAGCTGGTGACCATTCCTCTGTATCAAAAACGTCAGCCATTAAAATACAACTTCAAATGAAAATGCTTTCATGTTAAGCTAACCTCAAAGGCAAAAAGATGCCAACCGTAACCTTCTGAGCAATGTTCTTGCTGGATATAAGTTACTTTTTTACATTGGAAAATAAATGTGAACATAGTGCTGACATTCATTTGACTTGGTGGGAGCTGAAATTCAATGGTATTACCCACCCAGCCAATTGCTCCAATTTGCTTTCCAGCCTCCAGTACTGTATAATTCTGTCCCATGTTGTCAAAACTCGGTACGGCTTTCCTAGTATGATCTGATATGGTGACTACCAACAAGGACTGTGGGAGCTTCATGGTCTAGAGGTTAACCCTATCCGTACGCCCTGGGGTCACTTTGTACCCCCGGGGTTGTATTCTTCACAATTTTGAATACTTCTGGTACGAAGATCTCTTTGAAGCTTTCAGTATTTCTCAAAAAGTCATTTTGACAGACTGCTATGCAAAGCGTACAGATGGGATTAACGAGTAAATTTCCTCTTTGAAAGTGGTGGCACAGAGTTCCACGCGTCGTATGGATACGATAGTAAAACACTACATATGGATATGGTTAAGGTGTTCGCCTCTCATTCAAAGGTCCCGGGTTCGAATCCAGGTAGCAACGGAAAGATTTTCTCCTCTAAAATTGTCTCCTTTCACCTCCTTTCCTGCTCTCTAGCAATGTTCTGTCGTCTGCTTTCGTCTCCACTTTCCGCCCCCACCCCCTCACCTCCTTTGCCCCTTCCTCTACTCTGGGCTCCTGATTCTTTCTGCAACCTTTCTACTGCTACTCCTTGGCTCCTTCTCACTGCTGTCTTTCAGCCACACCCCTGATCTTCTGGTAGGAAAGATGTTCACCTAGCCTTGTCGGACAAAGGCGAAAAGTCTCAGAGGCCCCATGTGCAAGTTGCGCATGTTAAAGATCCCTTGGTGGTCTAAAATCGATAAGAGTAGGCTTCGGCCGCTACCCGGGGAAAAATTCAAAATTTTCTACCAACTGAAAAATGTTAAATGTGTCCCGCGCGCTCATATGACCGTATGCAGTTGCGAGCGCTGTAGAACGCTTTCGCAAACTTAAAAAAAAAATCGAGGACTGGTGGTTGTTTTTACATTTATAATTAATATAGCTTCCAATAGTCTTTGAGATCTGGCAGCTTTCCCTTTTATTTTGTATTTGTTCGTTTAACATATTGGTGTATGTGTTTCATTGTTTATTTAACGGCAGGGTTGGCACTTTGTTTTCTATGTTTGTGTGAGCATACAGTGGGTGGTTTTTTTTTTGGGGGGGGTGGTTTGTAATTCTGCCACATATTTCTTTGACTGAAAATTGTTTTCTATATCTCTCTACAGAAGTGGAAAAGGCATGTGGATCTTTGAATGCCAGATTTTTTGGAGGAAGAGTTGTTACAGCTGAGAAATATGACCAAGACATGTATGATGCTGATGATTTGTCAGGGTAGATAAATGCGTGTGAGTGAGTGAGTGAGATAGGCAGAGAAAATGATGCATGACTTGATTTGATGCATGATTTTAATTTGAATGAGAGCGAATGAGAACTCTTGTGTATAGATAAATACAAACTATTTTAATGAACCATTCCCATATTACACACAGAGCACTATCTGCTTTGTGGTGAAGATGGTTCTGGTGTGCTTCGTGTACTCCACCCTGTTGTCAGTATTTGGTACACCAGTGGACATCTGGAAGTGTTACTTGTTGCTTTGACTGTACAGCTTGTTTCCCTACACTTAATTTTCCTACCCTTCTAATGGAATAAATTGGTTGAAACTACTATATGATTGTGTTTGGTGTAATTAATCAAAAGAATGCAAGTACCTTGGTATGATGTGTAGCCAACTTGATGATGTTCTTGTACTAGCTGTGCTCTGAAAAGGTCTCTGCTGGAGAAGTTTCCAGCCATCATCCACTTTGTAGGTGGATGGTCGGTGGAAGTTCTTTTTTGGTCTATTCTTTCTTCTATTCAGTGTTGCTGTTGCCCTGTTCTAGGGACATAGTATGTTGTAGTCCACTTGACCTATTTTTTGTGTTAAGATAAACCAAAGTAATATGTGCACCAGTAGGCCTACATATTTTGTGGATTTGTCTCCTACTTTTTAAAATTAATAGATGGTTGTGGCTCTATCCATGTTGTGAAAGTCGGCTCTAGACCCGTAGACATTTGAGTTTACAGTTAATAGAGATATAATGTCTGCTCTATCGTAGCTGAGTTTGTGTTGGGGGAACATGTTGGATTACTCCAGGTGCTGGAGTGCATGAGAACTGACTCGAGACCATGTAGAATGTTGAATCATTTGCTGTGATTTCTCAAAACTGCTGAACAAAAGATGTGCTTTTAGATGGAGAGCAAAAACTTGGAATTTCTTTGGTGGCCTAGTGGTTAGGTACCGGGACTCGCATTCCAAAGGTCATGGATTCAAAGCCCTTCAAAGGCCCGACATTGTGTCCTAGAGAAAGGCACCTTCGTCCAATGGGTGGGAATGGGTACCCTGCTATAGACAGCAGAAGATTTTGTTATTATTATTGTTGGAGTACGTGCAATCCACAGTTTGCACTGTATGCTGCCAGGGAAGCTGAGAATGTTTCTATGTGTTCTATGGTCTGGTTGGGTGGTAATAGTTGTAATGTGCATAGAGCATGCTAGCCTATAGAGCGTGGTATGCACTATTGAAACACAGTTATTGTTGACATACTAAAATTTAAATTCCATATTTCCCCCCGGTGAGCAAGAATGATTAGCTTTGTTGAAATTCTTGGGCTATTCTTTTCCTAGGATTTGATTGCTTTATTAACTTGTATTGTTCCATTCTTTGTTCTTGTGCAGGTGAATGTCCAATTTTTTTTCCTTGCTGAGGAATGAAATTGTTCCAAATAATGTAGAACCCCCCCCCCCCCCCCCCCCCCCCCGATTTGAGCACCACGTTCTGATTCAAAATATGAGTACTTCATGAAATGTACCACAAAAACTATCTGTCATCTCCTTATGTGTCCAGTGAAGAAGGCATATCAGTTTTTAAAAATCATTTAAATTAATGAAATATCAAATTCATGAATGGTCAGAACTCAGCATAATAGTACGGTATTAATAGTTGGTCTTGCAGCGAACCTTTACTTATGTGCTTCTCTTCAGAAACAAATTCTCCATAAACATCTTTTTATGACCTTGTGCAGTTGCGAGCACTGAAAAACCTTACTAAAACAAAAAAACCCACTTGTCTCAGCAGTCAATATTCAACTTACTGGAGCTATGAAATGCGGATTGTGTATAACATTTTCTGGTGATCTACTGGGTCATTTGTTGAAACCAATCTGGGGCCTTTTACAGGTGGGTGCATGCCAAGGCCAGGTCATATTCAGTTAGATCTATTTTCATTTCAAAACTGGGGGTAATCAGCAGTGGGAATTTTAAAAATGTGCATATATAATGATATATTCAGTACCAAAATTGCAAACTGCAAGGCTTGCAAGCAATCCATAAGCACAGGTCTAGTCTTGCAGACGAAAGCATGCTCTTGCAAAACGTAAACACCAAAATTGAAAAGGCTGCGAAATTTTTACTTTTTGACTTAGATTTGCGAGGTGTTAAGCATTATAATGGGGAATATAGAAATGGGGAAAGTGACACTATTGAAGACCCGTGGTTGGAATTTGTCACGAGTAGGCCAAATCTAGACGGCGAGTTCTCTGATACGGAGACTGGCAAGACTGCTGTCTTGGCTAATGAGCATGGCTGAAAATCAGTACAGTAGTCTCCCCCTAAGATCCCGGTGCTCGGGAGCAAGGAAATGCGGGATCTTGGGCGAACTGGGATCTTAACCGACAAACTCAGGGAAGAATCTATGGTGACCCATGTTAAGGCTCACAATCGGTAAAATGGTCTCCCTCCACTCTAAAATGAACTGACATGCCCCCTTGGTGGGTTCATGGCATATGGTGAACAAAGAGTGGTTAACGTTAATGATCTATCACGGTGCCTAGTGGCATGAGGCGTGCCATTTTCACTTATTATCCTGTCATGAGTCTCAAGATTTACGCTTATCCAGTTGCTCCTCCCCTTTACCTGTCAAAAATTTATAGCTTTCCATCTCTGACCGAGTCTCCCCCCCCCCGCCAACCGCCTTTGTCGTTACACACCAATTAAAGTTCAGTCTGTCTCGCAAATTCGGGAGTAGAGACAACTGCTGCAATGGTCAGGGGTGAGTTCACGGTTGGATGTGATCCCGCCTGGAGGGAACGTGTAGGCCCTACGCACCCAGTGATTGATGTAAGTTTAGGGAGAGCTCAGGTTTGAGTGCGATGTTTGGGGAAAACAAACGTGTCGGTCAGTTCACACCTCGATGTGATCCTGTCTGGGGCAAACATTGTATCACTTCATCGAGTTTTACGTGTATATGATCACATTCACGATAGTGGCTGATCTTTTACGCGACGGACAGTTTATTGATCTCAACTTTTCACTCTTGGTTGATCGGCTGTGCCCGCCCAGGTTTTTGTTCCGCAAATTATGATCTGAAATGCGGGATCTTAGCCGAATGTAGACCTTCCGAGTGAATCAGAGCGGGATCTTAGGGGTGACTTTTGTAAAGTAAAACTTCTGTTTTCTTAAAACAGCGGGAACCGGGATCGTAAGTGGTGGGATCTTAGGCGGAGACTACTGTACTAACAATGGGAATTCACACCCCGTGGCAACAAAGGTCCAGTCCAACGCAGTCATTGGATGAAACATGGGGCAACTTGGTATGACCATCATTTCACATGATGGGTTAAAAAACAAAGAGTTGCTCATTTTTCATTTGACTGACAAAATAATATTGCTTTGCCAATCATTGTTTGTGTGTGTACCTACTTATACTTAAACTATGACTCAACCAGAGGACTTTTTACTTTCAGTGTCTGCCCAATAGCCCTATCTATAGTATTATTATCTCCTTTCCTACTCTTTTGACACTGACACCTTCATATGGAGATTGTTATTCATATTTTATGAACTGTTTTATAAACTAATTTTTTAATATGGAAGTGATGAACAACTTGGTTTTCTATATAAAGGAAATAAAAGCAAGTGTTGATGTATCTCAATGTTATTTGTGCACTTATTTCCGTGTAGCACCTGATTGTGACAGAAGTATCTTCGGTAGTAAAGGATCGTGTACTAATGAGACTTCACTGTTATGGCTTGTGCCTGAGAAAAATAAAGAAAACTAAATTAAGACAAGTAAAGTTTAAAACTTTTTTTAGTAGGCTGTGCATGGTGAAATTTATTTCAGAAGATAAAACTAAAACTGTAACCCATTTCTTTCAGTTCTAACTTTTCCATCTTTTATGGTATCTGCAAACAAAACACTTGTTTCAGCTCCCAAAAGAGGTCGCTAAAATATCAAGGAAATGACGATTTCGTCTCTTCCTCCTCTGCACAGGGTCATGTAAACACAGGCTCCATATAAACATACACTAAGGAGCCCTCCCGAGCACTGTGCATTTAACCCTATCCGTACGTCATGTTTTACTATCGTATCCAAGCGACGCGGGGAACTGTGCCACCTCTTTCCAAAGGAAATTTACTCGTTAATCCGATCCACACGCTTGCGTAGCAGTCTGTCAAAATGTTTTTTTGAGAAATACTGAAGGTTTCAAAGAGATCTTCGTACTTGAAGTATTCTAAAACGTGAAGAATACAACCCCAGGGGTACAAAATTACCTCAGGGTGTACGGATAGGGTTAAAGCAGAGACTACTACTGTATACCGGTAGCCTTTCAGTGTGGGATCTCAGAGTTGACTCTTGCACAGTAAAATTCTTTTTAAAAAAAATCGGAATCTTAGTTAATATAAGCCAACCGGTGTCATAAGCGGTGGGATTTCAGGTGGAGACCACTGTACGACACTAACTGAAGTATTCTGAATTCATGTAAGAAGACAGCACAGAGCATTCATTTTCAAATGTAAGTCAAAATCAACAATTTATTTTCCATAGAGAAGAATTTATAAAAATACATGCAACAATTCCTCTGTATAAAATATTGACAATGGACAACTTTATAAAGGCTCTTGTCATAGGATAACATCCGTACCATTCATGTCTGCTGGGGTGAGCCCTGTAGTGACAAGGGAATGGAGGGAGAGTAACGTGTGAGCCACATCAACAGATTGAGTCCATGCAGCAACCTTGGCAGATAGTAGGTCAAACTTTGTATAGACCAGATGGTCGTCACATTTCACATTCCTGTTCTTTACTTGGGTATGTTCTTTGGTCTCCATTGCGGAAAGGGATGATAAAATATCTCCAGAATCATACAATTCACTCTGTCCCAATGCCTTATTTTTGACAGGTAATTCAGCTTCAGACATGGACGCATTATTCACAAACACTTTCTGAAATGTGGGTTCTCTCCCACCGTAATCACCATTCCACTTTTTGTTATGTGCTTGTAACTCGAATCTTGGACTTGCAGCAGAAAAATAATCGGATAACCCAGGCCCTGGAACAGACTGGTGTACTGGCAACAGGCGCACATCTGACTCGTATTTGTCATGGTGCTGTTCTGTCAAATTCTCGGTCCCATTTACCGTCAGGTTGAGCCTCACGGATGTGGCAAAATCTTGAAACACATCAGACAGTGCCTCCAGTACTGCAGGCCGGATAAAGCACTGATTGTCTGAAAAACAAATACAGGTACAACAAATGCACATGAGAATGTGGAACTATGGAGTATGGAGGTAGAAACTAGCTAAGCATAAGTGCTATAACTATAGTCTTTTTCAAAGTAAATCAAAATAGAACACATATAATTTAGAGAAGAAAGTTTTCCGCTACAACCAGAATGTCAAGAGATGCCTCCTGTAAAATGAATACACATTGAAGAGGTGTCTATTACTAGAGTTTGTGGCAGTGATGTCCTCCACATAAACGAATGGGGGCTGCATGTGCCCACCCTGGGACTGACGCTGAATCTCAATGGCAAAACATGCGCAGTTCGACAGACAAGTGAGTACTTTTTTAGACTCACGTGGAGGAGTCTCGGTGATCTTATGAGGAAATGTACAAGCTTGCACTGAAATATGGGGTCTGGGCGGTGTTACACGCCAGTTTGTGGGGAGCAGGGTGGGGGTTCAGATTGTTCATACAGGCACGCGAGCCATGCCTAGGAGTATGAGGGTGGTAGGCCCCCATGTGTGACGTCACTCTGCTATTACTGTTAATAACCTCTTTGATACACAGTGGTCTCCACCTTAAAAGGAAGAGCGACCCTCAGTTTGGCTGATTTAGGTCAAGCTATGCAAACTGATATGTTGGCTAATTTTTTAAGTCATAGTCAACTTCAACTAGTTCTTTGTCTAATAATAGCAAGGAGACAATTGAGAAAAACTTTATTCTTGTCATAAATTGCCTTTGAAAACATGAGGGTGGGTTAAAATGAAGTGAATTTTCGCAATAATTGTCATTTTTCTGAAAATGTCATTTTTTGGCAGTTTTTTCCCTACTCCTTCCTTAGTTTTCATCCCTTTGACATGGAACTTTCAGGAATTATGGATGGCAAGAATACCATCAGAAAGATAATTTAGAAAAGGTTTATTATACATATAAAAAATACATCTAGCATCTGCGTTTGTTGCCATTTTCTGGTCCAAAATTAGCCAAAAGTTGTCACAAAAAATGGCAAAAGTTGCCATTAATTTTCAAGCTTTCAATTCCCTGTGATGACGTATATATAGCAATATGTTGATAGAGGTGACTTTCAATCTAAAGCACCAGAATTTCTTGTGCTCTGTTTTAAGCATCCAGAATATCATTTGCAGCCACACAGAGTCACAGAGTGTAAAAACGTGAATAATAAAGGATTCACAACAGAATTAAATCAAAATTAGAACAGCACATAAACAACCTGTCCCTATCATTTTATGCAAGAAAAATTTTGAAATTATGCAAACTGATCCTAAAAATGTGAAATTATGCGATTCTGTTAATTTTAACATAGAATGATAAAGGAAAATAATCAGAAATTAGGCAAAAAATGATCAAATTTAGCTAAATTATGCAGGGTGCAATATAAAACCACGCGGACAGAACAACCACAAAAATTAACAAATAAGGGCGTGTGTTGACCTATCCGAAGATTGGCCATTTTAACCCTACCTAAACATGTGTAATTCAAGAAAAAGTAAAAGATATTACATGCAAATTATGGAATCACACACAAGCGGCCTGCCAGTGTCAGTATTCGGTTTTGGTGGAGATGCGCTCTAACATAACACATTCATATTTAAAAAAGGTAGGAACAACATCAAATTTAGTGACAATAGACTATATTAATATTAACACAAAAAATAGAAAAACAACACATCAGAACAATAACAAGAAAAAAAAAATAACTTGCCAACAAATTGAAACACAACAAAGAGGGAAAAATAAAAGAGAAGCAGCAATATAAATAGTAAGTAATTTCGTAATGATATTCTTCACATGAAAACAACTAGTCTACACGGACACCTAAAAATTAAATTTTTCGTTCCTACTTTTTTTTGTTCTTGTTTTGATTTTCTAATACCCGGCGGTGTCATCTTCTTTTTTAAAATTTTTTTTAGAAAACTGCAAGAATTGCGGCTGTGATTTGCAAACCAAAAAATGCCAAAAATCGAGGCTGCAATAAGTGGGTCGCGGCCGAACAAAACGCAGATGCTCAGTACCAGTACATTGGGAAAATACTCATATATTTATTTCTTTTTGACTTATTCAAAAATACTCTGTGTTACAATAAGTTACATAGATAGGGACTGGTTCAGGTGTACTCTCACCCAATTTGGATAAATTTGGTCAGTAAATAAGAAAGCCATAGGGATTTGAAATTCATAGTTTATTTTCAAGATGGCGGTTGTTTCCCTAGCAACTGTCGTAGCTATGCAAAAATAAAAGTATGTGTCAAGAGATTTTTCTATTTCTAACTTATATGTGTACGTAGATTTGATCTCGGGCAACAAACATAGAAAATGGACCTTGAGGGTCACTCCTCCCATTAAGTTAATGGGTTTTTAAGTGGACTGGGCTTTCGGCTCCTACCCATTGACTTCATTTGTTTTTTTAAGACAAATAATGACCTAGAGATGATATAGGCACCTGAGGGAAGATGGAACGGTTTGCTTAAAAAAAAAACAACTACAAAGGAGTTGGAGTCCCCACTGAAATCTAAAGGACATGGAATATTTTTCCGTTTAGCCGGGCTGCTCTAACAGATGTGAAAACCAGGAATTTTGTTATCTTTCGATTTACTGTTTTCAGATGAAACATGTTTGGTTCAAGTGAACTCTACTGGATGAGCATCATGTCTAAGTGGTCTTCGTTGTTTTGATTTTGAGGCAGGTGAAACACAATGGTCGAGAGTGAATTTTTACGTGGCATTGTCACTATGGTTGGATAGCATCATATATGCACAAGCTGTCACAAACTTAAACATTTTGATACTGAAATTTGCTTCTTTTTTTTTTACATAATAACACTCTTTGACATAGATCTAGTTTTCAATATAATTTAAAACAGCAATTTAACATTACAAGAAAAATCACACTTTGAGACTTCTTTACTTCTTTTCGTTAAATTCTAGATCAAGTTTGAATCAAACTTTGCAAAGATAAAAGTGGAATGTCAAATACCTTCAGCATTCAATCCCCTGTTGGCCTCAGTCTTCAGCCACTCAGCACACCACTGCTCCGTGACTCCACCTCCTGGTAGAACCCGTGCGTCCGTCACCACACCATCCACTGTATGCAAACATTGCCACACTCGTTCTCTGAGCAGCTGGCTCGACATGTCACAGGAGCTCTGAACAAGCACAGTCTGAGGACCGAAGATTGCTCGTAATCATACTAAAGAGGAAATAATAATTGTATGGGTTAAAAATATTTAACGTCCTTTTCAACATTATAAGTGTAAAGATTACTAAAGAGGCTGGATCTCCGAATTAATCTTCCTTCTCCGCTACAACCATGCCAAGTGGGTGAGGAGTCTTTTTTCGTAAGAGTTTTACAGCACTTGCAACACAATAAGGTCATATAAGTGCCGAAGAATAGATGTGTTACAAGAGAGTAACATACACAAAAAAGAAGGAGAGATAAGGACGATAGATGTTCGATAGGAAAGAAGGAGCAAACCACACCAGAGCACCCACCAACCACCCATTGAGGAGTCTTGAATACTCCTTGAACAACCCAAGTTCAAAAAGCCTGTTTTGGACTTAAACTCCTGCCATCTGCATCATAGCCTAGATAGAATGATGTCAGCCCAGTTCCATAACATAAGAAAGAAATAATAACTCGATTAAAGGTTGAAAACAAGAAATACGTTTGGCGCAAAGAGAAAATTTACATTTATTAATTATTCCAATAATAGTGGCATGAAAAGAGCTCAGCCATAATTTAAAAATTTGACTTGAGTATTTGATTTAAAGTATACAGTCAGGGAAAGATAACAAGGACATGCAAAATTTGAAATCATGGATAGCTCGTACAATATGCCATTCCCCCAAACCCCCAAAACCATTTTCTATATATTGGCAACACCGTTTTCTCATACACCCCTTCAGTTTTGTTAGACAGTTCACCTTAAGGACTGGTGGGGCACCTGAGGTCTATTTTGGCTATTACAAGTCCTAGAGTGCCGATATTTGCTGTGGGACATCGTGTGTTATTGGGGATTTTAAATCAATAGTTCAAAAAGTATATTGTGAATCAGTTGCTATGGAAACGGTGGCCATTTTGGATTTTGTATACCTTTTTCAATCCCATTTTATTTCCTTATTTATTAACCGCTTTACTTCTAATTTGGCATGCCAACAGTACATATGTAGCTCTTAAATTTGGCTTGTTGAATTTTTAATATATATATGCTTTAGTTTTTATTTTATGACATTTACAATTGAGATGTTGCAAAAAAAGTGAAAAAAATGGAAAATTCATTCTTTCTAAGCCCTTAAATCAACTAGGTGTTGTTTGTATCCTGTGAAAGTTACATTAAAATTAAATAAGAAACAGAGCAGAAAATTGGGATAATATATGAAAAAATAGAATTGTGAGAAAACAGCCGAAACAGGTAAGAAAAGGCTAGACAACATGTGCTTTCGCCGAAAAACCTGACAAAAAACCACAGCTTTAGGGTGTAGCAAGGCTTACATACGTTTCTGGATATTGTTCAGGAAGTGTCCAGGTACTATAATATGTAATAAACCCAACTTACAAAATTTGACCCCCAAACACGATTTCTAGGTGCCCCACCAGCCCTTAAAAAACACCATCAAACTTTCAAACAATTGTCTTGAATTCAAATCGTCCTATGCACATTATGGAAAACAACACACCCATCTTTATCGAGAGTAGGCTATCATCAGTTTAGATGAGCTCATCGCCGGGGAGCATGATACACAGACTGCTGGAATTGAGGTGCATCATTGCACATTATCTGTAATGTGTGTAGGGTACTAGAACTTTCCTGAATCAAGTCATGTGAGGATGGGTGCTGGCTGGTGGACGCACAGTGTGGGTTGCATTGGGCTGTATGGAGTGTGAATTATGTTTGTGTTTGTGTACAGTAGTCTCCGCCTAAACGCATGGTACTCGGGAGGGCTCCTTAGCGTGTGTTTATATGGAGCGTGCGTTTACATGAACCTTAGCAAAGGGAGGAAGGGACGCAGTCATCTCATTGCCTTGATATTCTAGTTACCTCCCTTTGGGGTGGGGGTTACTTTGGGCCGATAATGTGACGCCACGTGACTGTTTTGTGAAAGATTCCCCGACTGCGGCGTTGAATGAGTGTGTGGGGGGGGGGCAGAAAACAGACTCAATGTAACGAATACACCATAAAATGTCGGGAACAGATAGCCTAAAAGGAAATTGTTGGTGAGAGTCATAGAGACAACGGCCCAGCCACGTGGCTTTCAAAGCCACCACCCCCGACCGTAAATTCATGAACAAGCATTCATGCGTGTTGCGCATCATAGGCCTAGTTCTAACTAAACATTAAATGCAGTCACTCAAACACCAGTCAGAAACCTTCTCTCAAACAGATGCATTTCTAGTGACCAATCAAATAACATTTCAGTCCCCCAACCCCCCAACCTCCGAACATTTCATCAAACAGTCCTAGACCTATGCGTCTGGAAAGTTGAGTGGGAAAACGCTGTCCATCACTCTCTTTGTTCGGCGTGAGGGGCAGTCTCACCAAATATCTGGTTTTCTAGACTTGTCTTATACAAGCTGTGCAGATCGTACAGTAGTCGTAGTGAAAATTTCCCTTAGTCAAGCTTTACCTGTCAGCGTGTTTCGCAGATCGGAGCGTGCGTTTAGAGGGAGTGACCGTGCGTTTGTACGTCTAAATTATATTGTAAAAAACCTGTCAGATGACGATAGCGTGCGTTTGAGCAGAGCGTGCTTTTGTATGGCGTGCGTTTAGGCGGAGACTACGGTAGGCCTACATGGTGTGTGTGTAAGATTATTTGAATGTGAAGGTACAGCTCGGGAACTGATTACAGTATTACGAAGATTACAAAAGAGGGGCAAGTGGCATGCTCTGACCAGTGTTGGTTACATCATCATGATCATAATCTGACATAAGAGCAATTTTATTTTTGTTGAAAGCTCATCAACAACACTCTCTTCCATTCCTCTGGCTTCGACACAGAAAAAGGCGTTCGCACTAACCATTCTTCTGTCCTTTTATCCATACCAGGTAGCCTACTTTTCATGATGGCAGAGAAGAGAAAACTTTAATTGTCTGACAATAAAAACCAAACGCCAGATTTTAGCAGAGGTTGACACGAAGTCCTGCTCTGAGTCGGAAATTTGTAAGAGATTTGGTATTTCCAATTCAACACTTTCCATGTATCTAAAAAATCAAGATGAAATAAAAAATGCCAGCACTGCATGTCAACCCGACAGAAAGTGAGCACACTTTGCCAAATTGAGAACATCAAATTGGCATGGTTCTCGTTAGCATGTGCTGTGTCTTTTCCTGTCAAAAGTGCCATCCTGATGACAAAAGCAGATAAAAATCGCAACAGAACTTGGCCTTGACTTCACATGCAACACGGGTGGGTTGGACAGGTTCAAAAAGAGACACGGCATCACTTAAAAAGCTGCCTACCTTTAATCTGCTCCAGAAAATCCATTACACTGTTTATTTTCTCACAACTGTACCATCAGTTAACAACCCTTGAATTTCTTCTATAGTGGTCTCAGCCTACGATTCCAGTGCTTGAGAGCAAGAAAAAAGAGATTTTAGTCAATCCATCAGGTGGAGAATCCACTGTGAATCATGGTCAGGCTTGCAGTCAGCAAAACGATCTTCCCTGACATTGAAATGAACTAACATGACCCCTGGGTGGGTTTATGACCTATAAGGAGCAAAGAGTGGTGGCCATGATGACCAAACAAATTGTTCTCTAGCACTGAAAGTGACATAGACCCACCCATTCAGTTTAACAACATAATGACTAACCTGAACATCTGCCATGTTAGAAATGACAGCATACTTTTCAAAACTTGGATCTCCTTGAAACACAGTACCCTTTACAGCATCACTAAAAGACTCAATATGAAGACTGCACACATCTGTCTGGAGACAAATACAACATATATATAATGATTTATACGAAACACAAACATCATTAAACATATTTGAGCCAATAATAGTTTTAGTTTTAGTTTAAGAAAGAGTTCTATTGCATTAAAAAACAAAAAGTAAAAGGTCATATAAGTGCCAAAAATTAGAGGCGTTACCAAAGAGTAACAAACATAAAAAAAGGAGGAGAGATAAGAACGATAAATGTTTTACTAGGAAGGAGCAAACTACACCAGAGGATCCACCAACCACCGAAAAGAGCCAATAAAAATAAAATGAACAATTACTAAGGAAGCATCGACGCCAACAAACAGGACACCTAGTGATCTAAAACAGCTATTTTCCTTTAGGCAACAAAGCATAAATCCCAAACAATTTCTTTTTAAAAGCTGAGCTTGAAACAAAGCCAAATATGACGCTGGGAGCGTCCGAGGCTGGGAGCGTCCGGCAGAAATAACCCTGTTCCCCATTGGATGCTGGACTAGTGACAACTGTTTTGTTTTATTTAGTGCTAGTTTTTGCTTGTTTTTCGGAATTATTCTCGAACCAAGGGTTTTAGTAATGACTAAGCCTTTGTTTCCGCTATTTAGAAGTTGGAGGTAAGCTTTTGGGGTTATAATGAGACAAAGTGCACTAGATAGGTGGCTGTAGAAAAAACCTCCGGGAAACGGTGGAGAAAACTCACGGCTTAAAGAGTTAATTTACATTGAGGACAGCAAAGACCAACTATCTTACCACACTAGCTTCTGTCACATAAACCAACAGAGGCACACAGTGAGCATGGCCCAGCACACTCAGCGTGTGATGAGACACGTGTTGAATGGGCAGAATGTTAGTGTTCAGACACTCTATCAACACAACGTCGCTTATTTTGCCACGGACAAGAACTGCTCCTACACTTATCTGAAAATGAGAAAAGAGACAAAGAAAACTAAAATAAAAACTCCTGCGGTAAAAATAATAGGAAAACTATTTCATGAAATAATATGGACAAGACGGATAAAAACGCCTTTTGACAAGGTAAACAGAACAGTTTTCAAACATACAACTACAACAACAGGGCAACAAATTTAACTATTTCTCTGAAAAAAAAAAATAGGCCAAAATATTTCATCTGTGGAAACCACATTTAATCTGGATTTTTCCTCAAGAGAATTCTTCTTACAGACTCTCCCAGTATGCCCGTTGTGTGACTGAATGTTTGAAACAACAGATAACCAGGTTTTCTACCATCGGACTCTCTACAATATCATTATCAGAACCACTCTTCTCCCTCCAGGACCATACTCTCAGTAGTGGGTCTATGGGACAACACACCAATTTTAAAGCCTGGACATACCACCTCACTGTCAAAATTGAAATGTAGAGTGAAAAACTTGAGCATCAATGGAGCAAGGACAATAACAACTAGTTCATAATGTTTATCTTTTTGGCAAAAATTTGAGGTTAGCTGACCACAACGTCACTGCAAGTAAAAAATATTTGAGTGGATGAAAATTAAATGTTAACATTTTAACTCTGATATTACAAAACATAAATGGTTCTCCTGGTTCAATGTCACCTGTCATGTTTGGTACTCACTTCCTTCAGGGTGTTCACTATCCTCTGAGCCCATTGTACTTCCTCTGGGTCTAGGCTGCATGAGCCTCTGTCGTCAATCAGCGTCTTGCTGCTCAGTGTAGGCTTATAGCCTTTGTGGTGGTGGGAAATGGTCAGGTCTCCATTCACTAACTGAAATTTGATTCACAGCTTGTCAAAAGGGAGCACACGAGCAAAACAAATAGTTTCTCATTCAGACAAAAAGTCCAGCACATTGTCAATATTTAGGGCACAGCCTGGATACAATAAGCATAAATTTATCAAAACATCACTCAAAAGTGTAATCAACTTTATATTAAATAGTTTAATAGACCACTTCTTATTCATTTTCAAGGGAGAAATATATCTAGTCGTGACTTTCAGTAATTCTGGAGACATCTGATCCCAAAAGTCATGACACTTATCATTTTATCACTGCCAAAGGCTCCTAATCGGATATATGATAATATTCATTTAGTTAAAACACCACATACAAGTACTGGAATACAATCATTACCTAGTTTGTAATAAATCCTTCAAGAGTTCTTCAACTAAAGAGAGGATTGGTATGAAAAGCTGACAATGTATAATAAATCATTCACATCTTCCTGAACACATACCTTAGATGCTATTCAGTCCATATTAATTAATGTACTATAGAGCCAGAATTCATACAATACTATCATTTGAACAAACCTAATACAGCTGGGTATCTGTCCACACCTCAAACCTGCAGATTTAGAGTAAGTTAAAATACAAACCCCATTCAGTTTTTCAAAACCTGAAACATTTTTTAACAGGTGGTTTTCACTCGCTCATAGACACAATTTAAATCATTAATGAGGCAAGTTTCAACCCTGTCTGTCAGGACTAAACTGGACTAAGAAGGATACAGTGTCCCAGTAGAAAGACCAAGATATTCGATAAAAGTTCTCCCCGCGTGAAAATTGAACTTGGTCTTCTGTATGCGACAGTAAAGTGCCTAACAGCTACACCACGGCTGCTAGTCTGGTCCAGTTCAACAAATTAGTCGTGCAGAGGGAGAACTGGTAGTCACTTACTATAGCCCTCTTTAGGGACTTGTCACTTCTAAGTGGCTGCAGAATCTCTTCCTCACACTGCACCAGCAGACCAGGGATCAAAGAAGCCGCAGACGGCACAGATGATGACGACACAGCTATACAGTCAATGAGATGGACGTTGAAGCTGGAGCAAGAGAAATGAATAGCATAAACATCTGCCTTTACATTGAAAAGCACTGAAAGAAACAAAGAAAAGGAAACCACATTCTCATCTGTACAAAACAGATTATATGAGAGAAAGAGTCAATAGCTAAGACGTTATTGTTTAATGTTAAAAGATTACGGCAAAGCCTGCAGCTGGGCCACAGATGATAATTTACTAGATACTAGATCTATGTGGAAACTAACAGCGAAACTGGTTACGCACACACACCCAAAAAGCAGACTGGAGTCCAGAATGAATTTGGAGTCACTAGTTATCATCTCATTGTCAAAAGTTAAAATATTATACTAGTTCTACCAATAAAAGAGAGCTTACAACAAACTGACTGTTAAAGTCAATACGCCTTAGCCTTACGTCCCAATATCTGAGTATTTGTATCCTCATTGGAAAAAAAAACCCAAACAAAAAGCATTTCAATTTCCAATTTCTTCATTTAAAAACATGCATGCAAATAATATACAGTATAACACAGATAAGTCGATTTCGTCAGGACCCTCCTCAGTAGTTCGAGGGATATTGTACAAAGATAAAGAAGAAAAAAAACCTGAGAACGCAGGCACAGTTCGACGGATGCGTGATTTCGAGTCTTTTGTGTTCAATCTATCCATGTTATAATGTATATCCATGCATAATTTACTATGTCCAGTAAAAATATAATCACAACCTTAGCTGAAGCAAAAAAAACACCCTTTTCCAGTAACCTCGATAAGATCATTACCTTTCAGTTTCTGTATGTTTTATCTGTTTTTCAAAAGCCTCCACTGCCAATTTCATCAGAGGATCCGGCTTCAATGAAGCATAATCAGAGGTAAGATTGATGGACAATATGGCTGATCTTTCATCTGAATGCTGCTCGTTTTTTGATTTATGCAGAAATTCTTGGCTAAAAGATTCTGAATCCTCTTCCACAAATTTGTGAAAGGTACCATTAACTTCATCCACCAAGCAATCTTTGAATGTGGTCCCGAATTTCAGAGTTGACTCGGTAGAATCTAACACTGAAGTGCATCCATCACTGAAAGTCTTGATGCCTCCGTCATCTTCCTGTGTAAGTCCCACTACATCCCCTGGTGAGAAGTGCCTGCTAGACATTGCCATATTCATGGCAATAGAAAGCTTGGATGCCGAAGTTTTCTGAAGTAGCAATTTCTCGAGTAAAGATTGTCTTCCCTCATCATGACTCTGGCCTGCAATTTCTTTGTCACACGATTTTTGAATACTAAGTTTGTTGCCTTCATTGTTCATGGTTGCTCTGCCGTATGAATTTTGCACAATTTGTTCATCCCCCTTCCAAAATGCATTTGTTCCATCACGAAAATTTGACACACATTTAATTTTGTTAATTTCCTTTAAAGCTTCAGTACCACAGGATTCTTCAACATCTGCATTCACTCTTTTAGAGGAAGAAATGGAAGAACATGGACTGCTACTGTCACATGGGTTACTTTCAGACAAGCCTGTAGCCTTCATTGATGATGAAAGCATGACCAGAGAACTTTCATTGTCTTCACAACTGATTACTTTTTCATGCAAAGTTTGAGCATTATTAGTCTCACTGTTTGTCTTGGGGAAATCTTTGCCTGCATCTTTTTCATTTGACATTGTATAATGGCGGCTCAATAATGCCATGTTTGTTCTTTTTGCCACACCGATTGACGCAAGCATTGCATTCAAGGAGTGGATTTCATTTTTAACATTTACCACATTTGAAGAATGTCCATTTCTTAAGCACTCCTCTTGGTTTTTTTCAGATTCATTGCTACTGTCAGAGCTGCAGAGACTAGTATTTTCATTTTTATACGTCTCAAAAGTCTCACTATCAAAATTTGCATCCTGACTTGGAACCAAGTGCAGAATTGAAGTCACTGGTGCCAACTGTTTTGGTTGAATTTCAACACATTCTGAATTATCTCTACGGCTAAAACAATTTGAAGATTCCTGGGAAGCATCCTGGTCTGATACATTGCATATATTGACCAAACTAGATGATGTACACAGGTTGATGTCATTGCTTTCAGAACTTTCTCCATCAATTCCTGAGTCTACAATACAATGACTAAATTCATCTGATTCTTCACTTTCCTGACGCTTCACAGCTGTCTTGTCATGCACATCATCAAAGTCTACAGCTATGGGGTAATGTATTCTAGCATTTCTGAACAAAGTAGTATCACTGTTGGCTATTGTGTGGGCATCTGTTAAATAAGATCCAGATCTTGCTCCCATAAGATGAGGTGGTGGAACTGGTTCAACTACAACATTGACGTACTGACGGTTGTCTGTGTCATCAAAACAATCTTCAAAATCTGAATCGTGCAAAGACCCATCTCTGGCTGAAGTAATCAGGTTTGAAAAGTTTGCCTCAGACAGGTTCTTACTGAAATCTGCACTAGAATCAGCACTCATTTCAACTTGATCTCGCTTATCATTTATTGTAGAGTCTTCACCATCTTTATGAGTCACAGAAGAGAAAAACCAGTCAATATCAGAATTGTCAGAATCTTCACTGGACGGTGATGACATTTTTAAGTACACAATATCTGTCTCTGGCACATCGCTCTTTACACAGAGTCCATTAGGATTTTCCCCCTCAGTTTCAGCATTTACATCAAACATGTAAGCTGCAGAATTGTCTCTCGTCAATGGTAATGTCACTGGGTCGATGCAGCATGGCTGAGGTACAGGTGCAGCATGAGCAAAGGGCACCGAGTCTTCGGGCACACAATTAGAGTCAGTGCAATGACTTAGAGATTCATTATCACAAACAGGAGCATCTACTGGTACAGCACAAGATGACACATTTGTGGTTATTTTATGGGGTTCTTCCACAAGAGGTGGCTGGTCTTCGGATATAAGAGGTATAGCAATATCTTCAACTTTCGTCAATAGCTCTGAAACAGCCTCTTGCATTAGAGTGAGAGACTTGCGTTGTGAGATGCCCTGAGGAAGAGAGTAAATTAATAGACTGAATATCACGCTGTTACTTAAGATAATTTAACATTTTCCAGTCACACAGTCAGCAGTACAAAATATCCCATCTGGTCACCTAGCCATGAGAGCAACTGCAACCGACTTCTTGGGCCTGGCCAGATGACTGGAACGGATAATTTTCACCGGCTGACAACAAACTGTTAAATGACTTGCAGTTTTCAACCGACTGAATTTGAAAGGGAATGGATAATGTACACAGCAGTGTATTTTACAAGAAATTAATCGCACAGTTCTTAAAGAAAAAAATGAATCATACACCATGTTCAATTGCTACTGGAAAACAGAATGAATTCTAGGCATAAACTTTTTGTTCCGTGCAACGACCAAAATAGGACCATGACCAAACAAAAAAAAAGAAAGAAAGAAAAAACAACAAGAAAACAGCATTTTGAGCTGTCCTAAGCTTCAAATAAAAATTAGTAAAGCTAAATGTCGCTGTTTTTGCCAGCTGTGAGTAAACGTCCTTCAGTAACTTTTGAAGGATTCTAAGAAACCATTTAAGAATCATTACTATGGCCTTCACATCATACAGCAATATGATCAGGAAATTTTCAAGGAATCCAATATTTGTAGTGACTCTGAAAACTCACCAACTGCTGCAGCTGACACACAGCTTTTATAATCCTGACCATGAAGAAAAGTAAAGTCTTTGTCCCTGAACCGTGTAGTTTGTGGTGAGACTGTAGAGCCTGAATCACAATTTCTCCAGCTGGATGCTGTGAAACGAAAACACCACTATGATTTCATGTGTCTGCCGTCAGTGACCTATCAACAGGGCTGCCTACCTCAAAGTTCCAATTTCAGGTAAGTTCAGGGTCTGTTTCAGGTATTTTGGCCCAAAATCAGTAGTGCATAGACAAAGAAGGAAAAAAAAAAAGATTGTTGCCCCGGTACCCATAGTAACCATCGAACGGGGCTTGCCTTTTGTGATATTGGGAAATAATATTTTGAAAACTTGTTTGTGCATGCACATATATGTGTGCATGTGTGTGTTTTAGTTTAAGTAGAGGTTTTACAGCACTCGCAACAGCATAAGGTCATATGAGCGCCAAAGAGTGGATGTAAACAGAGAAGTCCTTATAAGGAATCAGGCTTACTCTACTCACCTCTCTAGCTTCAACAGCACAAAGTCTGCTTCGACTATCAAGGCATCCTGGAAATAGCGGGTCACAAGAGTGTGACAAACATACAAAAGAAGTAGAGGAAAAATGATGATAGTAAGGATTAGGAAAGGTAAAGCAGCAGTTCCCTGTTGCAGTTCAGGCAGTTATGAGCATGACATTGATGAATCAGCCTATTTACAATTCCAATTCCACTGTGCATAAGAACATGGTGAATGTCCCCCCTTTGGAAATGGCCTAAAGACACTTGAGTCAGTAGCACCTCCCAGAAGGGTTGTGTGTGTGTGTGTGTGTGTGTGTGTGTGTGTGTGTGTGTGTGTGTGTGTGTGTGTGTGTGTGTGTTTGGGTGTGCATAAGTTAAGGTGAACAGTATTTATGAAATGAGGCGAGTTAAAAAAAACAACTTTTTAAAAGCGTTTATGGACTACCGTTCAAGCAACCTATAATTCAGTATAGAATAAACAGGGTGACTGCCAAACTGACTTCAAAACCCCTAGCCCATACTAATAGAAACTATATCGAAACATATTTTCCGACATTAGCAGAGGGCACTGAAAGTCCTGTGTTACTTAGGTATGACAAACGATTTTAACTAATTTTGCTCTAAAAATACAAAATGAGTCCTGATCTGGTCCTGTGGAGAGGCCAGAACATCAACTGCCATAACCATGTTTGGGTTTCAGCAATCATGGATTTTAAAAAGCATGCAAGACAAAACTTATTTTTTAAAAAGCTTTATAGTAAGGCTCACGGCAGAGCAAAAAGTGACAAGTACTGAGAGCCGTAGCTGGAGGGTGTGGGATGTAGTGAGGCTGAAAACCTGGCAATCACTGCATCATGGACTAAGTATTGATTTTTAAAAAATGCTAAATCCTAGAACCCCTTTTAGCCAAAAATAAGCCATCATGATGCTTAGGCATCCAACATAGGGGCGCCATGCCGCACAGCGCACTCTATAGTGCGGTAAAAAATTTGTGACGCAACTTATCTTCTAATATCTTTTTAATGGGGGAATCAATGTCATCCATATTTTGCACAGCAGTTTGTATCAATTTGTTTTAATTAAATCATATTTTTCCAGAACAATTGGAGCTAGATTAGAAAAAACTTTTCTTTATACATTTATATAAAATTCTTGAAATCTCTGTCACATGTAAAATAATAATAATAATAATGAAGATCATTTCTATAGTGCCCACTCTCGTGTGAACATAGCTCTAGGCGCTTTACATAAATGCATGTACAAACAATATTCTTGCACACACACACATGCACACACACACGCACACACAAACACACACACACTCACGCACACATTACATGCACACATGTGCACACACGTGTACGCCAAATGCGCGCACACACTCACACACACACACACACAAACATCTACTTGCTTATCACATGTGCACACTTACACATTGTTACGAAATGAACACATACAAATACACAATAAAATAATATGCACAATGCAATTCGCAAAATACATAAATGGATACATAGTCATTTTTTAACATTGTATTGAACATGAATCTACTGACGTAAAAATGATGTCATTAAATGTGTCTTTAAAGATATTTTAAATTTAGACTCAGACATTGTATGTCTCTAGGGTTGGGGAAGAGAGTTCCAAACTGATGGGGCAAGGCGAGGAAAACGATCTTCCAGCTTATTAAAATGAGATTGTTCACAGCACTTCCTACTTCTCACACACATTTTGATCACGCATATATATGCCCTATATATGATTACGAGTCCTGTTGCCTAACCACTAGGCCACCGACACCACTTCTGTGTTAGTATGAAAGGAGGTCGCTGATTGGTCGCATAGAGCAGTTCACCCTGCAAGCGGCTTCAATGAATTTGAGCTTGCTCATTTATGTATTCCTTGAATCTGAGTTACTTTTATTGATTCTTATTAATTAAAAAATCGGGAGAATCCAACTCCTTTTGTTGAATCCGAGTTTTAGTTGAATCCGAATTAGTTGAAACCGAGTTTCAGTGTATCACAAATGCGACCAGTAAAATATGAATTCAGTGGCCTTTGCAGTGTTGGCTTGGAAGACTGTGCATTTTCACGGGTCTTTCTTGGGGAAATTTACAGATTTCCTCAAATTCCAGACGCATTCCAGGGTCTAGATGATTTTTTCAGATTCCTGACTGGCAGTTTCTTATACAACTTATTGCTGAGAATTACCGTAAATATCCGAGAAGTTACGGAGGAACTGCAGAACCAGAACAGGTATTTTTGTTTTCTTCTACTTTCGGCACCCATCGCAAATCTGGTAGTTTTGACACCTTTATCGGTATGGCTGTAGAACAGGCCCAACATTGGTAACTACTGCAAAAATCAGTAGATTTAGGCAGCCCTGTATCAATACAATATTTATGAAGACAAAATTATTACAAGAGTTATCTATCGTAGGTTCTGTATTATAAACAGTCAGCAAGAAGCTATGTATGCATCTAATTCTGATAATTGGAAGATAAAACTAAAACAAAATTCAACTAATCCAGCACTCTTTTCCAATTATGATGTTGCAGGAGATAAAAAAATCCCAAACAAAATATTTATAATTTCTGGACATCAGTGCATTCTGTAACAATTTCTCTATTAAAATTTAATTTGAACCAAGAATCTTTTCCTCTCCATAATGCTCATCATTTTGACTGTCAAATCAAGAATAGTAACATTTATTAAAACTAATCTACATTAGATGATCTATCTAAATTAGATGAATCTAAGAGCAAAGGGAATTCAAAATCTTTAAACAAATCTTACATCAATATCCAGGCTGCAGAGTAAGTGAAGCACATCACTGGTAAACACAGTGCCTCCCTCGTGGCTCACACACTTGATGCTGCAGAATAAACGAATAAGCTGTCAATGTAGCTCATAGAACAAAGAAAAAGTTTTGTACAGCAACTGCAGCAGTGGTTCTTAATTCGGTTCGATCAAACCCTCAAGGTTCTCCGAAAAAGTCTTTGGGGTTAAGCTGAGGTCAAGACAGTTAGCCTACATCGTCACATTCACCCCACTCGAAAGATTCAGTGAATTATGCATGTACGGAACTTGCCATGTTTAGTAACTCCAACAAGGTTACAAACACTAATTTAGTGGAATGATGGCATCAACACATTTTTTTAGGTCAACTATTTGAATTTCCAGACTTTTCATTACAAAAAAGGAAGGATATTTATCTTTCTTAATTATACTCCCAAATTGATAAAGTTAGGCAGCAAATTCAGGTAATGTTATCCTTCAAAACATAATATTCCAAAAACGAAACAGAAAGTTCTTTTACACATCCTTTCTACCCTGTGGTGTTTCTGTCATTCTCAAGTTACAATGCAGTAACCAATAAATCCCATACAATTACGACAGCTACAGAGTTGAAAGTTCACAAGTATCTGCAAAAAGATAGATGGGTCTCCATGACGGAGCCTGATTTTTGATTTTGTCATTTCCTGAACTTAAAAAAAATATATTTGACAAAAAGTTCCCCATCTTCTTTGACCTTTGTGATTATTCCACTGAGAAATGAAACAAATCTGTGTTGCTGTCCTTTATAGCGGAAATGCTGGAAGCGATATTCGCAACGCGAAATTTTGTTTTGAGGGTACAGATCTAGACCTTCTAATTTTTTTAATCTCTCAAGATTTATTGCTCCATTCCAGTAGAGTGTAAATATAGTAGGCCAATGACTTTCAGTTGATGCTAATGCACTGATCATTCCTTTCATCGAAAGGGAGCCCAGCAAGTTTATTATAACCAGCATCCATATATATATACGCACCTACCAGAATACTATTTTAATGCAAAATTAAATCCATATTTATGCCACTCACCGCACTAGCCACTAGAAAAATATTGTGATTTATAGCTCTCAGCATCATGAAAAATCATCAGCATTTTTGAAAATTCTGTCCATCATATGTAGGAAAAGTTATACAGTAGTCTCCGCCTAAGATCCCACCACTTATGATCCCCGTTCACTTAAAATCCCGCTGTTTTAAGAAAACAGAATATTTGTTATACAAAAGTCACCTGTAAGACCTCGCTTTGATTCACTCTGAAGGTCTACATTCGGTTAAGATCCCGCATCTCTCATACTCATAATTTACGGAACAAAAATTTGGGCAGGTACAGCCGATCAACTTAGAGTGAAAAGTTGAGATCAATGAACTGCGTGTCGCATCGGAGTTCTCTACCTCAACTTACATTACTCGCTTAGTGGGTAGGGCTTATAAGTTAACTCCAGGTGGGATCACATTGAATAGTAAACTCTTCCTTGACCACAGCAGTAATTGTCTCTACTCCCGAATTTGCGAGACAGTCTGAATTTTAATTGGTATAGTCAAAAAGTAATTGGGCGTAACAAACAAAGGCGGGGGAACTCGGTCAGAGATGGAAAGCTATAAAATTTTGGACAGGTAAAGTGAAGGGGCAACCTGATAAGCATAGGATTTGAGACTAACGACAGGATAATTAGAGAAAATGGCATGCCTCATGCCATTGTGATTTGTCATCAAAGTTGACACTCTTTGCTCACCATATATGTGTCACAACACGATGGAATCAGGCGCTCGTCAATTTTTGCGTATATGGAGTTATAGGTATCATCTTAAAGCATGTCCATTTGCCTTGCTCTTGATGGAAAAACCTATCCATTTAGCTTGAATACAAGTCGAGATATTGGCAATTGAAGGAGGTGGGGGTCGCCTGGTTTTAGAGGTAAAATAAGTGAAAAAATGGCCGCCATAGTTGAGTTATTTCCTGCGTTTGAGAGGGCGTGAAAACTTAAAAATTACAACTTTTATGCCTTTAATCAAAGTTTTTCAGTAGAATCCACACAGAAATGTGCAGAGACCCCCCCCCCCCCCAAAAAAAAAAAAAAGAAATTAAAAAAAATGAAAATCAATAAAAATGAAATGAAGAAAGATGAACCATTTTTACATCATATTTTTCAAGGAATTTGCTTCTAAATGGTTTAAATATTTTTAAAGAATTGTCTTTGAGGACCTGTCGTCACTGGATTAAGCCGAAATCCTAGACAAACATAAGGTATCTCTACTCAATCGGATGAACACTTTCTTTCCACGGGAGCCCCCACATATAATATACCAAAAGAAAGAGAATTTTATTGCTGTTTCGGGAAAACCCAGATCGCATGAAACATCATAAATAGTTACAAGAGTTGTGTATCTTTTAGCTTCACTTCTGAAAAGGTTTGTTCATGAGTGCCGTTTAAAATTCTTCAGTTCCATGTCTTGCCATTCAAATCAAATGTGAACTGTTCCTTATTGAATTTAAGTTCTTCGTTCTGCTCTGCAAAGTATTTTTTCTCGAGTTTACAGCAAGTTTTCTGTTTCCAAGCGATTGAACATTATTTTTCACTAAATTTCAATTTATTCCAAATGTTAACAAAACTTTAAAACCCGTTTTTTCAAAACTTCACCTTCTGACCACTGTGCACTTTAAAAAGCCATAACTTTTCATAGAATGCTCCAATTGCACTCAAATAAAGTACAAATGCTCGGAATAGATGTGTTTTTCAAAAATTCTTACTATAGCATACCTTACCTTTTAAGATTAAACTTGTATAAATGTACTGTCATACAAATAAGTAGCAATGACCACAAACAACCTTCTTTTGTCAGAAAGTGTTTGTAAATATGTGCATTTTGTAGCTGTATCTCCACAGAGCATGGAACTTTTGAAATTTTTGAAATCCATCAATAAACAAAACAAGTTACGGATTTTTTAATCAATTAATTTTTGGTACACTTTTATATAATGAAAACCCCCCCCCCCCCCAAAATATGGGACATTCTTTGGTGAGTTTTGAGACAATATTCGTCATAACTCACTCATTTCTCGAAGTATTTAAATGAAACTTGGCAGCCCAGTACATTTGCTAGTGCAGAATCTAGTCCTACTTTAAGATTTTTCATAGCTATCCTACTATTTGAGTTATGAAGACGTTTCTTGGTAAAAATGTGGTGGTTTTCAGTGTGTTTTGGGACAATACTTGTCATAGCTCGCCTATTTCTTGGAGTATGTAAATGAAACTTGGCACTCTAGTACAGTTTTTAATGCAGAATCTAGTCATGCTGTCAGATTTTTAATATCTATCCTACTTTTTGAGTTGTAAAGACATTTACAGGTTAAAAAAAGTGGCGTTCTTTACAGATTTACAAAGATTATCAGTCATATCTTCTCCCAAAGTCATGATATTTGAATGAAACTTGGCAACGTAAAAGATTCCTCCTTGCTAAGCAATGCACTGGATCAATTTGTCACAAAAATTTAAGTACAGACCTGGATTTATTAGTCTAATAAATCCAGTACTCTACTAGTAAAAGCATGCACACTTTGTAATAGAAAATAAGATCGTCTCTGTATATATCCATTGTTGGACAGTGTCCTATTGTGTGGGAGATTAAGATGCGTTTAGATAATATTATTATAGTTTACAAGTCATGGGAATATTTCGCATGTGTAGGCTACAACTCATACTATAAATGTAACAGATATTTACCCCCCCCCTCTCTCTCTCTCACACACACACACACACACTCACACACACATATATATGCAAGTGCGCGCACTCACGCATGCATGCGTGAACGATAACAATGAATAAACGGGACTGTCTTCCCAGACTGGACTAAATAAGTACCATACTCTTTAAAAACAATCTTAATGCCTTACTTTTCCAAACAGAGCAAACAGGACGAGTCCAAGTGTGTGCTTTCCCAAGAGGGGGGAATAGGCTTTCATAACGCAAACACAATGTCATACCACTTCTTAGATGTTTGCTTTTCAGTTTCTATTCTTCTCTCATGCAATTAAGCAAATAAAAATGACTACCTCTATCGTATTGTGACTAAAATGCAACACAAATGCCCACTTCTTAGATGCTTGTTTTTCAGTTTCTATTCTTCTCTCATGCAATTAAGCAAATAAAAATGACTACCTCTATCGTATTGTGACTAAAATGCAACACAAATGCAAGTTATCAAGGCCCCCCTTTAGTTTTCAAGTATCCTTCCCCCCCTTTCGGGTTCACATAAGCGGGGCCTTGTTCGTAGCGCCCGAGGCGACCGATGGCTGATGACGTCACTCAGTGGAAATTTCCCAGCCGCCGGTTGTTCACCCAGCACGCGCAAATGGCAATGTCGCTTTTCGCTTAGCTACTCCCACATTTTTAAAGATTACGCCAAAACCGCTAAACACAGAAGCATG